TCGGGACGGTAGGAACCCTGTATATATATAATCATAATATAATGTTTCTGAAAATTGCGCCCTTGTACTCCTCCAAATTCATCTGAGTCCTCGTGATCCTGTGTTTGCTCATATTTACCAATCTTGTGATAAATTTCTTTCTCATCTTCAAATATTCAGTTCTCAACATTTCTCCTGTATCTAAACTTCTTTTTCTACGCTCCAAACATGAACTCAATCTCAAACGTGCATCTTCCGCGATTGAATGTTTTGGCCTCCATTTTCCGCGTCCAACCAAATTGTGTATATATAAGTAAGGTGCCACATCAACATGTCTCACATCACCATTCTTTGTCAAAGAACCACGCAACTTCCACTCTTCATGCATTTCAGATGTGGCTTCACGATATTCCTCATCATTCATTCTATACAAACCCATCCGTTTGTCTGTCAAATACATCTTCAGTACTCTCCAGTTTTCACTACGACATAGCTTGCTAGCTATGATCCAACCTGCAGCCCGAGCATATCCCCACTTGTTGTTGATTGCCATTGAGCATAGCTCATATTGCTCTTCAAGGTCATCTATATCATATTGATCCATTAGCCTTCCAATACGTAGACGTCTGTAAGGCAACAACTCACCTGGTGGCTTAGCCAGCAAGCTTTCCACATAGCCATGATGTCCCTTGAGGCGTCTTTGCGCTCTCAGCTCACCTACGCTTGTTTGAGCCATAATCTACAATACAACAACATAAAAATAATAATATGCCAATTTTCAATACTTCACATAACCATCAAGAACTCATCATAGCGTACATTCTGCATAACTTCATTTTTACGCCACAGCTCAACACTCTCAAGCTACAAGTCTTCGCCACGCTCAGGAACATCATCATCAAAATGATCTGAAGGCCTTTCTCGATAAGGGGAGATAGGTATCCTCCTGATCTCACGTGCTTCGAAAGGAGCCTCCTGATTGTTAGCCCATGCTTCTTCTTCATCAGCAGTCATCCTTTCCCAAGGAGGGGTAGCATCACGTTTATCCCACCATTCAAAGGAATCAGAATCCTCATTCTCCGAGCGATCACGTCCACCATTTTCAAAAGCAATTCTACTTGATTGAGGCTCATTCAAGTCGACCTCACTTCTAAATCTCTCATCACGTTCCTCTTTTTCTCTTACCCACTGAGGTACTTCTCCAGCCCCAGGATTTACCTGAGGAAATGCCCAACCTGCAGATTTCCCTCTCGCACGTAGACGTTCAAACGCTGGAGGCCATAAACTCTCATCCATCCTTCTTCTGATCTCAGCACGAGGTCGTTATAATTTACCCAGATTTATAGAGGATTTCCCATTGCCACCTGTGATTTATAGAGGATAATTTCCATTGCACCATGGATCCTATGGGTTAGTGGAATATAACACCATTCGTCTGGGTAAATTATAATATTTCACTAACCTGAATAGTTCGGCCATTTGGGGATGATTTCCCTTACTAACCATGATTATAGTGAGGGAGAACAGTGAGGTCGTTATAATTTACCCAGATTTATCGAGGATTTTCCATTGCCACCTGTGATTTATAGAGGATAATTTCCATTGCACCATGGATCCTATGGGTTAGTGGAATATAAAACCATTAGTCTGGGTAAATAATAATATTTCACTAACCTGAATAGTTCGGCCATTTGGGGATGATTTCCCTTACTAACCATGATTATAGTGAGGGAGAACAGTGAGGTCGTTATAATTTACCCAGATTTATAGAGGATTTTCCATTGCCACCTGTGATTTATAGAGGATAATTTCCATTGCACCATGGATCCTATGGGTTAGTGGAATATAACACCATTAGTCTGGGTAAATTATAATATTTCACTAACCTGAATAGTTCGGCCATTTGGGGATGATTTCCCTTACTAACCATGATTATAGTGAGGGAGAATAGTGAGGTCGTTATAATTTACCCAGATATATATATAATATACAATATGTATAATATGGCTAATCAATGATTAGTACTAACAATTATTATGATTAGTAACCACTATTAAGAATGATTTACCATTATCAACCATGATAATTCCTACAATGTGAGGCCCCCCAGTGATGTTTGTTGGTTTATAAGCCCCAGTAACTATAGTTATTGTTCAACCAGGCCATTTTGACTGGCTCTGCCACCGTGGCGCATCGCCGCGCTGCGGAACTTCCGCCGTCCGTTGGCGGCGACGGAGCTTCCGCTGTCCGCCGTTCTCCGGCTGTCCGTGGTCTTCCTGCCGGACACATGGGGAGTTCAGCGGGACAAATGGTGATGTTAGCAGGTAACATGGTGATTTTATGAGGAAAAAATGGAACAAAAACATGGAATTTACAAAATGTTACTAGAAAAAATGTGGCAATTCATGGATTTTCCTGACACAAATGGGGATGTCACCATCAACATATGGTGATTTTGCTAGGAACAAAAAAAGAACAAACGTGATTTCACCAGGAAAAGTTGGGATTTCACTCGCAAAACATTGGGATTGTACTGGCAAAACTTGGCATATGCCAAACTTGGGATAAACAGCAAACAAACATGACAATTCACGAACTTGAAATGAAACAAGGATAAACAAGGTCATATAGTGATGTTGCGGCAACGTCGATATGAAACGTTATAATTCAGCCATCCCAATCAAACCCCCGTCAGATCCCTCATCCCAAATAGTTAATTACTGACTTCATGGCCAACATGCCAACAACCACCATTATGTTGTTTGAATCCAAAGAGCAAATCATTCCGATCAACTTACAATCGTTGCCATTCTCATTGTTTGCCTCAACTTTGGTGATTAAATATCTCATGTTTCATAACCAACAACCACAACAGATCCTCCCATCAGCAGTCGAAATTGTTGGGTATTTGATGGTATTTATCCCATCAGCAGTCGCGTTACTTCACATCAATTGGCTGGCGAAATCACGATTCATCCCATGAGTTCCCCCATGAATTTCCCATAGAAATTCCCATTGTTTCTGCATACGCTTCCCCAATCCAAACCTCATCAAATATCGCCAATCAGGCAAATCAGCATTTGTATCCCATTGTATTGAAAAAAAAATGGTGGCTTATCCACTTATCCCCATCTGATATTTAAGTGGATTTAACTGATTATTCCCGTAGACTTCCAATTTCGCAAACATAGATCCAACTGATTACAGTAATCCCATTCACTCCCATTAATATCCCATTCCCAAGCGAAAAAATCCATCATGGCATGCCATGTTTTTCTCAAGTTCCCATCCTCCCAATCGAATTCCCATCCCATAGAATAAATGAAATCATGAAAAACAGATCAAGTTCTATTAGTCAGATAGATTTAAATGGATTTAGTTCTATTATCTAGTGATTAATATGATGGATTTAAATCATTAAACAAAAAACAGACATGTTCAATCCCATCAAGAGATCAATCGAAAAAAATATCCGTGATATTCACAGGAACATGTTCCATGCTATTTCCCATCGATTTCCGTCATTAAATCCCCATGATTCATGCCACCATCTCCATCGCATATTCCCCAGGAATTTCCCATCGATATCCCCACATTGTTTTTCCCAAGAAATTCTTATCCCGTCAGTTCACGGTCCATCATCAAATTTCACCAAAAAAAACTTACTGGTTGGTGGTTTCAACCCCTCTGAAAAATATGAAAGTCAAATGGGATTACTATTCCCAATACATGGAAAAATAAAAAATGGTCCAAACCACCAACCAGATTACTGGTGCTAAACGTAGAGAATGGATGGGTTGTTGGGGGTTGCTGGGATGATGAAATTGAGAGTTAGCCAGTGGATCATTCCCCCATTCCCTACGTTTAGCACAAGTAAGAAAACATCCCACGCAATAGGTTTCAAAAAAAAACACATCAAATCTGCATGAAATATCCATGAAATATCCATTACTATACCATTGTATTTGGTAAATGCTGGTTTATCCCATCATTTCGTCATCGATTTCCCATTCCCCATAATTTTCTCATTCATTTTCCAAAAAATCCCCATAAGGTGGTGCCCCCAGGTTTATAAACCATAGCAACTAAAGATATATCTACCATACACCCTAATGATTGAAAGTTATTTGCACCAACTGAGCGATGACTGGGGCACCACCTTGTTCTATTGGGTACATGTTACTTTATCAATGTGTTTTTTCTCCAAGAGATATGGGTATGTTACGAAGAGTATTCATCCCTTTGACATGTATGACATCCCATTTCCGGGAAGTTTCCCAGAATTCTGCGAAGACGACTGAGATTCAGAAAGTGGGACATTACCCTCTGGTAAACTAACATAACTATGGAAAATCACCACTTTTAATGGGAAAACTCACTATAAATGGCCATTTTCAATAGCTATGTTACTTTACCAGAGGGGAATCGAATTGTTATGGACAAAAAAAAATCTGCGAATTGCAGCACAAAAAATCATCATTTTCCCATAGAAATCATTTTATCAAATCATCGAATCCCATCCAAAAAACCATGGAATGTGCAGAAAAAACATGTCCCGAATAGAATGATGATCTTGAATGATCCAATCCAATCTAAGTTATGATTGTTATGATCCAATCCAATCTAAGTTATGATTGTTATGATTCTTATACCGTTTGGTTATTTAACGTAGCTATGGAAAATCACCATTTTTGATAGGTAAATCATCATAAATCCTCTAACAATGGACCATTTTCTATAGCTATGTTAAATAGCCAGAGGGTAATCCCAATTTTTCCATAGAAATCCATACAATGTGAGGCCCCCGTTCGATAGCTAAGTTGATGCAAATAACTCCAATGTCACTATGGTTTATGGTACGCAAATAACTATAGTTACTGGGGCGAATCTAAACCAACAAACATCACTGGGGGGCCTCACATTGTATGATTGATTACTCAAAGATTATTATAGAAACTAGGCTTATGAATTGTTGGCAGATATAGTAACCAACTGGGATGTACCATAGAAATCCACAGAAATCATAGCATCCAATCCCTCAGGCCCCATCCCTTTTTGAGCCTCTTCAGGTTCACATTCTTCGGTGCCGCCGGCGGATTCGAGGCTTGCCGCGCCAACTTCGGCACCTCGGCCTGCGGTGCTCGGGACGAAAACCCAGGTGGTTTGAGTCGAAAAAGCCATGGAAAACCACGGTTTTACGGTTTTACTTGGCAAAATTCATGGGGATTTTGGAGTTGTTGGAGTTCATATCACCTTCAGCTTTTCTTTTTGGAGCTTTACTGCAGAAACAAGAACATAAATGATAAGTTAAACACCATGATTATTTACCTAATTATCCCGGCAGGAGAACCCAAACAGTGTGTAGTTAGGATTCTAAAGGGAAAGGTGGAAGTGGCCCTAAATCATTCAATGTATTTAGGTCTAATTTCACTGTAAATGGGGTTGGTGTTTTCCCAAATTGCACAAAATATAATACCAACATCAAATCCCATATATATATATTATAAATTTAATCATTATAAACTCCATTAACTATAGTTATATCTACCATAAACCGTAGAATTCAGCCACTTTTTTCAGGCAACTGAACCCTATCTTGGGGGCCCCATCTTGTATTAATCACTGATATTAATGGAATGGTGGGAATGTACTATTAATCACCATAAGTTCAATTATTGTTAACATCATAGTGAAGCATAATGATTATTCACCATTAAGTCAATGGGAATTCCAGGATCCTAAATTGGAGGTACTGTACCATATAAGGCAATATTCTGTGGGGATATTCCCAAAAAAATAGGCCTTACATAGGCCTTATATATGGTAGGTACCTCCAATTTAGGTTCCTGAAATGGCCATTGATTAAACCATGTTTTTCGACCTGCCCAAGTTCCAGTCCGTCCCGCGCCTTGTCCTTGTCTGCCACGACTCTCGAGGGTCGCATCAAGGAGACAACCCCAGCTGCTTGGACGAATTTGCCACCTGGCACCGGGCTACAACATTCCCATATGCTCCACAGGATGGGGCCCCCAAGATAGCTAAGTTGCCTTATAAGTGGCTATGGTTTATGGCAGATACAACTATAGTTAATGGAGGATATATTGGTTTATAAACCAACTTATAACTGGGGGGAGGATATATTGGTTTATAAACCAACTTATAACTGGGGGGCCCCATCCTGCATGTATATGGTATATTTACCTACATTTGGGTGATCTTTAGGGAAAATGTTTTGTAAATATTCGATACTTGGAGCATGTGGGATTGACATTTGGAGGAAAAAAAGGAAAACTATGGAAAACATATGGAACAATCAACAAGGCTAAAACATGCGAAACCAGCTACAAATTCAGCAAATCATCAAAAATGTTGCTTGAAACAGCAACAAAGGCAAGGTTTTTTTTGAGGATTTAATGAATTCAATCAATGGATCTAACGTGAACAACATGGGTTACAATCCTGAAAGGTGATGGCCCCCCCCAAAGTTTGTTGGTAAGCCATACAAGGTGGTGCCCCTTAGTTAGCTAACTTGGTCTATAATTCCAAAAACTAGGGTTTATGGAGGATATAACTATAGTTACTATGGTTTAAAAACCAACTTATAACTGGGGCGCACCACCTTATAGGAAACTAGTTCGAATATCTACCATAAAGACAAGTCTCATTGGAACTAGTCGTACCAACTGAACGAGGCTGCGAACTCATCAAAAATGGCCGTTGAATCACAAAACCAACAAAAAATGCTGTGACTTGTGACTGAATCAATTCAATGACAAAAATACTGTCTTGTGAATTCATCATTTTACCATATTTGATATCATATTTCACCATGAAAATTTCTGTAAAATCCCAATATTCAATGGTGAAACCGCCCATTTTCCACGGGTTTTGGCAGCCACTGGCACCTGTGGCGCCCAGCTTCTTCTTTCCACTGAGGTTCAACATGTCTCTCAGCTTAGCAGCCACGTCCTGGCCGGTTTCCAGGAAAGTCCGAGGGATTTGCAGAAACTAGTTGTACAGTAAATATTTGCACCTTCAGATTTCCAGAAACGGCAAACTTGTTGAACTTGTGCCGGAGAGCCAGCTGGCTCAGCTGCTTTGTCTTTTAAGACGCTGGCTCGTGTACCAGGCGACTTGGATTGTTCCCCACCCAAACCCAGCCCTCAGCTAACATCTGGTGCTGCTGAACGGTTTCGTTGGACGTGTGTCCACTTGGGCATTCTGAATGAGTGCGGTCCGCCCCAATCTGGTTGGTGGTATACCTACCCCCCTGAAAAATATCTGAAAGTCAGTTGGGATGATTATTCCCAACTAAATGGAAAGTCATAATCCAGCCATGTTCCAGTCACCACCAACCAGCCATCATAAACCCATTCAACCACCATTAAACCACCATTTTCCATATCTTTTCGAAAATCAAAAAATAGTGAATGTTGGTTTGGATTTTTTCCATTTTTCAATAGTGATTTTTCCCATTAAACATGGTGATTTTCCATAGTTATGTAATCGTTTACCAGAGAGGGTATTGGAAAAAACACATCTTCCAAACCACCAACCGGATGAGAGTCGGATCAGCTAGTGTGGCTCCCAGTTCGCCCGCACGTTCTCCAAAGCCTCCAGGTTGATATTGCTATTAGTACAATACATTAATGTATTAGTTTGTTCAATGCCTGTTCAATGCTTATATTATACAGTATATTAATATGAATCATGAATTGCATTTGTATGCTAATATGTAAATATTTTGTATATATATATATTCATGATAATAGTAGACTAGTATTTGATATGCATTCAAATATACCTTGGTATTTACCACTAGTATAAGTATACATATAATTAAATCATATAAATATATACCTTGGTATAAACCACTATATGTATATATATTAGAAGTATCATAATACATATTTAGATCGTCGTTTACATATAAAATCCATTGTATAGATCGAAAATGTTATTATAAAATAAATACGAATAACTATACATATACGAATAAATATACGAATAGATATACATATACATATACATATACAAATGCACATATACATATACACATATACACATACATATACACATATACATATACACATATACATATATACATATACATATACACATATATACATGTCTACATATCTACATATCTACATATATACATATATACATATATACATATATACATATATACACATATACATATCTACATATCTACATATCTACATATCTACATATATACATATATACATATATACATATATACATATATGCATATATACATGTATACATATATACATGAAAACATATTTACATATATACATGTATACATACATACATACATACATATATACATACACACATATACATATACACATATACATATACACATATACACATACATATACACATATACATATACACATACATATACACATATACATATACACGTATACAAATACACATATACACATACATATACACGTATACATATACACATATACATATATACATATACACATATACATATATACATATACATATACACATATATACATATCTACATGTCTACATATCTACATATCTACAAATCTACATATATACATATATACATATATACATATATACATGTATACATATATACATATCTACATATCTACATATATACATATACACATATATACAGATATACATATATACATTTATGCATATATACATGTATACATATATACATATCTACATATTTACATATATACATAAATACATACATACATATATACATATATACATATCTACATATCTACATATCTACTTATCTACATATCTACATATATACATATATACATATACATATACATATTGTCATGGTAATGATATATGAGATACACATATATCCTTAGTCAATCCATATATGGTATGTTATATATAAATGTTAATGGTAATATACTAATGGTCATGATGGTTCATATGGTCATACAACGGTCAAAAAACATTGTCACAGGGACTATCATGGTTATGTCATTGGATTTGCTTCCATTGAATTACTCAATAATCAACCAAAATTGGGAATGGTTTATGGTCTTGATGTCATTGGGTTTACATCCATTGATAACCCATTAACATATTTCCATAAGCAAATATAATTTAATATAGCATATAATATATTGGTTCCATGCTCGTTTTGGGGAGCCTCGAAAATGGAGTTTTGGGAAAGTAACATCCTTTTAAGATGAGGCAGTGCTATTTGTTTTTTCTTTACAAAGGTGCTGTGACTTTCAAAGGGGTGGTTTTCTAAAAAAAAAAAGTTTGGATGTGTCTCGTATTCCATGCAGAAATTGCTGGATAGATATGGATCTAAGGGCAGGCTCCCCCCCCAATTCCCCCTCCCGGCCCCCCTCCCACATTTGCAAGACCCTCCACGACCTCCCGCCTCCCCCCCCCTCCAGGGTTGTGCTGTCTCCATGTGGGACGATCTTCAACAGGCTAACATGCTAGAATTCTGCCAGGTTCCTCTTCCTCGAATTCCCGTAACCAAACTCTTTGACCATTTGACCAGAAAAACAAAACTTTGAAATCGAGTTTTGTGAAAAAAAGTGACTAAATGAGTTTCCCGTAAAGAGCGGGTGACCTATATCAATATATTCATTCTATCCACTAACAATATCCGTATATAGCCAATATACAGATATATATATATATATATATGTATATATATTTCTTCACATATAATCAATTCTCAACATCTATTGGTATCATCCCCATTTTTCACTACCCACTCGTCTCCTGTTTCAGCATCTTCTCCGCTAAGACCTGTGGCGTAGGCGCCGCTTCACAGCGTTCGATGGGGACCTTCTGCTCCTCACGCGATCGCCGCCGAGCGGACCCGACGAAGCTTGATCGGAAGAAATGTGCCAAGTTTAGTATATAGTGATACTGTGTGTATGAAGTTTAAGTAAACATAACTAAACTACATGTTTCCGACGAAACCATCTTGATGGAAAGAAATATGCCAACCGTAAACTAAAAAATGCCATTGTCAAAAGATGGTACATGCAAGGTGGTGCCCCCCCCAGTGATGTTTGTGGGTTTATAAACCATAGTATATCCTCCATAAACCCTAGTGAAATTGGAGTTATGTTCACCAAGTTAGCTAACTAAGGGGCACCACCTTGTGGTTTATGGTCATCCTACTATCATTCGGGATTCCTGATCTGGATTGATGGCCATCCAAGTGTTTGTGAAGTCCGAAACGATGGTCGCTAATGTGGTTAAAACAATAATGTGGTTGAAACAATAATGTGGTTGGTGGTTTCAACCATCATGAAAATATTAGTCAATGGGAAGGATTATCCCATATATTATGGAAAATAAAAAATGTTTGAAACCACCAACCAGATAATAAACCATCCCCCAAATCACCATAAATAGGTGGTATAAAATATTCCCAAATGGGTGGTTTATTCTTGTTTTAACCACGTTATGGCGGTATGAAAAATTAGGGCCCCAAAGGACTTTATAGGCGGGTAGCCAAATCATTAGTTCCAACATGGCAGCTAGACTCTCAAAGTTCTCGGGAATGTCTATACAATGTTGTGAGTATGGTTTTACTACTACTTACCAGAACACTTCGCTAAACCATGCCAAACCAATATTGAAACCATCAACTCAGTCATTCCATTAGTCTTATTTTTGGCGGGTGGAATAATCATTTACTACTTAATTACTAAGACTTACTATTGGTTAATATTTCTGATATCCCATTATCCCTATGTTTAGCAGACCGCATCATTTCTTGCGGTCTTATCGCCATTTTCAACCCGGATAATTCACCTTTTTTCACCGTTTCGATGATCCTCCGTTTGTTGTTGAGTCTCGTTTCACCATGTCTCACCTAAGATTTAGGCATGTAATATCAATTATTACCCTCTGGTAAACATACAAAAAGCTATTGAAAATGGCCCATAGAAATAGTTGAAGTACTTATTAAAGTGGTGATTTTCCATACTTAGGTTTACCAGAGGGTAGACCCAACTGACGCCCATGGGTGATTAGAAAAACATTCAGAATAACCATTTATCAATACCATCCGTCTACTAATCATGTCAACCAACTAAGATTCATTTCATATTCAGCAATGAGATTACCCTCTGGTAAACTAACAGTTTGCTATTGAAAATGGCCATTTATAGTGAGTTTTCTCATGAAAAATTGTGATTTTCCATAGTTATGTTAGTTTACCAGAGGGTAAACCCCAGCATTTTTCTACCTGGAATCAAGAGTAAACCCCGACTAAGAAGCATATACCACTGACGTTCAATTATGATTTAGTTCGATCAGAAGATTCCTAGCCGCTCTGATATGTGATGCTTTGGTGTTTAAATATCCATTCTCACCTGGTAAACACCCAAGTCACTGGATGATGCATATATATATATAGGTAAATTATAATATTTCACTAACCTGAATTAATGAAATTTTGGGATGATTCCTCTTATTAATTGACCATGATTCCAGTGAGGTCGTTATAATTTACCCATATATATATACTATGGCCATATAATTAGCTATACAAATCTATATAGGCATAATAATGTATATACACACATTATACACCCACGTATATGAGTAACTGTCACACTCATTGGCACTTAACGAGACTTAATGCTTATCCCGGATTAATAACCCCGAAGTCTTTTAACATGGGTTCCCAAAATAGTGATGTTTTCCCTCGATAAACGTAACCCCCCTAGTTGGTAAACTAGAGGTTTATTCATCCTGGGTTGATATTCATAACCCGGTATAATATATGGTATAGCTACTGCACTTTAACAAGCGGGAATCGGGAATAGAATCTATATATATATATTCCTATATCTAATCATTAGAGATATACCCTCCGGTAATTTAACATAGCAATTGAAAATTGCCATGTACAGTTGTTTTATACATTAATAATGGTGCTGTTCTATAGCTACGTTACTTTACCAGAGGCTATATCAAACATATGGGGATATTATGATCATAATAACCATTACATAGCCATTATTATAACCATTATATAACCATTATTTACCAGAGGGTCATCAATAGTGTCCTTTTATGAAAAATAGACGGGTCGCTTTGGGGTATTTGTTCGTATCATCTACCTATTCTGGTTGGTGGTTTCAACCCCTCTGAAAAATATTAGTCAGTTGGGATGATTATTCCCAATATATGGAAAAATAATCCAAATGTTCCAAACCACCAACCAGTATTGGTTGTGAACAATTGGCGCTGAACCGCCTCTTCTTTCATCAACCAGCCAGTGGACATCTACGAATATAGCAATCCCATTATAATCCCATTATAATCCCATTATAATCCCATTATAATCCCATTAAGTCTCATTGAATCCCATTATAATCCCATAATAATCCCATTATAATCCCATTATAATCCCATTAAGTCTCATTATAATCCCATTCCCATTAAGTCCCACAAGGATATCCTATTTCTGATAAACAATCACCCCTTCCAGTACCTCACAACTTGGGCCCTTCGTTTTGGTTGTTCGCGCGCCTTGCCCCCGGGGAACTTCACGGTGACATCACTCCCGGCCACGCCACGGACCATGGCCAACTGCCAGGGCGATGGCGCATCCTGGCATCGTTTCACTCACTCTGCGCGGCCATTTGAAGCAGGAAATGACATTTGAAGCCGGTACCATCTGGTCTATTTAACGCTGAGCTGGACAATCACCATTTGTCAAGAACGGTAAATCATCAATATGTTTTTAAGCACGACAAATCATCATCATGGAACTCAATGGGCCATCTTCCATTGCTATCTTTAATAACAGAGGCTCAACTCATGGATCACTCAGGGTTTAATGTGGACATATGATGAAGATATCGTTTAATATCTGATTGGTGGTGCAATAACCATCTTGAAAAATGATGGAGTTCGTCAATGGGAAGGATGACATTCCATATATGAAATGGAAAATAATCCAAATGATTGAAACCACCAACCAGATATAATTTGCCATAAATGAGAAAATATGGGTATAGCGGGTTTGTCAGTGGGTTTTCAGTGGATCGACCCATGACAACATATGACAACAATCTCCGATCTTACGCGTGAAAACTGAAATGGTAGATTCTGAAACAAATCCCATTCTAGCTTTCAATGAATTGGTTTTGTTGGGAAAATCTTCACTGGAAACAATCGATTTCCCCATGAAATATCGGGTTTTCCTGTCAATTGTCCCTTAAACCAATCCCATTCTGACTTGAATAGTTGATTTACCCATTCAGAATGGTAATTTTCTATAGCAAACTGATTTTTTTACCAGAGGCTAACTTCAAAAAAAATCACTGGCAAACGCACCGAGGTCCATGCGCCCATGCGCACCAGTCGCCTCTTCGGGATTGATGGTGACATTTGTGTTGTTCATGCTGGTCATGCTGTCGTTCGCCTTAGCAGCTTAGCTGCTGCTGTCGTTCGCTGCAAATCATGGGGAGAAAAATGATCTGAATGCTGGTAAAACAATGCCATGTTTACCACACGAAAAAAATCACCATTTTTAGGTATGTTTACCATTCCCAAATGGGTGGTTGCTTCTCATTCTATCCCCTTTTTAATGAGTAATTATTTTAAACTATGAGGAACAATAATTAAGCATGTCGAATATTGTCGGTCAGTCTTGTTAGTTGGTGATCATCCTTAAATATTTGTGTCATTCCTGATAATGATTTTCCTCATCAGTTTTTACCTAAAGCATTACGATGAACATCACTGGGGGGTTACTTGGATGTGCATCCCACTTACGATCCGTAGCTAATAACCCTAGCAAATGCCAGCTAGATTAATGGAAACATCAGCAGTTTTATGGACTATATGTGACTATATCTGGTTGGTTGTTTGAACCCCTCTGAAAAATATTAGTCAGCTGGGGTTACTATTCCCAATATGGAAAAATAAAAAGTGTTCCAAACCACCAACCAGATATTATATACATGGGTTATGTTCTCCATTTACGATCCCTAGGATGAACCCCTAAGCAGAAACCAACGAAGTCATTGGGATTCTTTAGCTTCAGCCAAAAATGAGCGGGGAAAAATACCCCTATCCATCCCATCCCATGATACAATATTCCCAACATACTATAGTACTAACAAACAAGGGTTAACCTACTATTGTTATAACCTATTTTTTTGTCTTAGTACATATTCCTTAATTATGGCTTATAGTTACCCTCTGGTATACTAACATAGCTATGAAAAATCACCATTTATAATAGGTAAATCAACTATTTCCATGGGCAATTTTCTATAGCTATGTTAAATTGCCAGAGGGTATAACAATATGAACGCTGATCCCATAGTGTTAATATGTATACGATCAGCTCACCAGTTAGATCATATCCTGATCCCATCAGGATTATACCGGTAGCCACTGATAGTTTGAAAAAGAAAGCCACCAATATCCCATGTTGTATTCTACTGTGTGTCAAAAAAAGTCCCACATCATCAAAATTGACCTAATATACATTTGAATATATAATTGACCTAATATTATAGTCCCAAATGTACTTAATATAAATATATACATATATATATATATATATATCTAACGTCAAAAGGTTTAACTGATTTTATTTGAATATATGACATTATATGACTATATCACTGGTTTCATAAAACCCAATCAACAGATTGGCCAATCCGAATAATTCACCAGTTAGTACATATTCCTTTTTACTGCCAATTAAATTCGAAAAGGAATTCACAATTCAACAAGGTTGTGGTTATTCCCCACCTGCCAGGTGAGGGTTGTTAGATTTTATCAGAGTTGTTCTCCTTCTTCTCCTTCTCCTTCTCCTCCTTCTCCCCCTTCTAATCCACCTTCTCGTCCACCTCCTCTGCATCCACTTCCAGGTCCACTTCTGCCACTTCCATGTCCACTTCCGCCTTGCCAACTCTTCGCCAAGCTCTTCGCCAACTTCCGCACGCAATGGGCACTGCTGGACCTCAACTGCAAGGGTCTGAGCGCAGTGGGCACCGCTGGACCTCAACCTGTGACCCGCCGAGTTGAGTGAGCACCGCTGGACCTCAACCTGCAGTGAGCACCGCTGGACCTCAACCTGGGACCCGCCGAGCTCAGTGAGCACCGCTGGACCTCAACCTGGGACCCGCCGAGCTCAGTGAGCACCGCTGGACCTCAACCTGGGACGCGCCGAGCTCAGTGAGCACTGCTGGACCTCAACCTGGGACCTTCCGAGCTCAGTGAGCACCGCTGGACCTCAACGGCCAGAGAGAATGCCAGAAGATATGCCAGATAGAACGCCAGATAGCATGTCAGATAGAATGCCGCCAGAAGATATGCCAGATAAAATGCCAGAAGGTATGCCAGATAAAGTGCCAGAATGTTTGCCAGATAGAATGCCAGAAGATTTGCCAGAACATATGCCAGAAAATATGCCAGTTAGAGTGCCAAAAGATATGCCAGATAGAATGCCAGATCGAATGCCAGAAGATATGCCACATACATAGATTGGCAGAAAGTGGGCCAGAAGATATGCAGGATAGAATGCTAGAAAGAAGATTTGCCAGACAAACGCGACTAGAACATAGGGACAAAGAATGGCAGAAGATAACCCAGATAGAATACAAGATCATGTCGAGTAGAATTTTAGTGGATCACTCGCTTTGCTGGGTTCTGGGTCAAGCAAGCTCAAGCCAAAGCAAGTTGTCTTGTGGAACTGATGATGTGTTTGACCAAAAAAACGCAATGGCTTGCTTGCAAAGGGAGTGGCTGGTATCTATGTGATCTTCACCATGAAGATATGACAGAAGATATGTCAGAAGATTTGCCAGTAACAACACGTATAAATGTCATGGTGGGGATCACTCGAAGTAAAGTAATTCCTCTTTAATGGCATTCACCAGATATTCCAATTCAACAGTTTGATGGGTACCCTCTGGTAAACTAACAGTTTGCTATTGAACATGGCCATAGAAATAGTGAGTTTTCTTATGAAAAATAGTGGATCTTTCCATAGCTATGTAAACGTTTACCAGAGGGTAGTTATAATTAAAATATCAGCCATGAAAAACCACTTCGATCAGTACAAGGTGGGGCCCTCTGGATAGCGTTCAGTTGGTGAACAGAATGAACGAATTTCACTATGGTTTATGATACTTATAACTATAGTTAATGTGGGTTTAAAGTAATTATAGCCAAGTTAGTTTATAACTTTATAACTATAGTTATAACTATTCATAACTATGGGTTCATGATCACTATGATTTACTAATTGGTTAATAATAATCCAAAAAAAACCGTTCGATCTGTCTGGGTAAATTATAAAAATTCACTAATCTGAATTAAGGCCATTTGGGGATGAGTTCCCTCAAATAAACCATGATTCCAGTGAGGGAGAACAGTGAGGTCGTTATAATTTACCCAGTGGAATTATATTCTAAACGCCGATCCCAGCGTCCGTCAGTCTAGGCTTCGGCTGCACCAACACCACAGTGCCATCCTCTAACTTCATTGGGCCTCGATTTCATCGGGTGGAACAACTTACCATGGAAAGAAAGTGAGTTTTAGGATCATGGTTTAATAGTGGTTAATGTTTGCTAATGATGGTTGTATCATACTTTCCCAGCAAAGGATGGAGTTTGAATTGATGTTAGTGCAGTACAGCAATAATTCATAAACCACCCATATAAAATGATGGTTTACAGCACCCATACAACCGGTAGAATTGGGGACGGTTGATTATTGCTTTACCAATTAGGTTCAAAAGTGGAATTGAGTTCAAAACCACAACAACAATGGGAATTTAAGCAGCAAACTCTGAATTTGACATGATTTAGCGAGCAAAAACACTGTCATGCATTTGGATCTAAGCAACAACTATGAATTTTATCGTGGTGATTAAACGGAAAATCCAAAAGGAACCTTGGTTTTAGAGGTGTCCTGAAAATTTTGTTCCTTAAACAATTTCTGGGATTCCAATAGAATCTGCCAGTTTTGATCCATGTGCCGGTAAGGTAAGAGAAGGAATCTGTTGACGATGTCCTGTTGATTTTCTGAACAGCTGTGATTAAAATGGAATCAGTTGATCAATGATTTTGCACAAAAATAGAAGAGTTAAATCCTACTGTACTCAAATTGAGTAAGTCACTTTTCTATTTTTTGGGGTTTACTATATGGGTTATTCTCCAGTGCCATGTTTTATTCCCAGAGGGTAAACCTGGTTGAACGGTAGTATTGTATAAAGGTTGGTTCATTTTGCCATGTGGATGGAGGATCATGCTTATAATCATTCTGGGAGGCAGGGACTGGCAGGAAATAGGTTACCAATTATTTATCAATATGCTGTCCCATATGATATAGCCATTGATATTATATCTCATTCTATCCCGATTAAATGGAGATAACCCTAAAGTACAAGCTCCAAGTATCTCAAAGTGATACCGCCAAAAACATGCCCTTGCTGCTGTTTTTTTTTGGTCGGGAATTCGAGGCTTGCCGTGAGTGGGGACAAGGCTCCCATCACCAGCTTCTGAAGCGCTCACGCGCAACGGTGTCATCAAACACGACTGGTTTTTTTTGAACAAGCCATGAAGGTTTCTAGCAATTTAACCTCCATTAACTAGTTCGTTATATCTACCATAAACCATAGAATTCAGCCACTTATAAGGCAACTGAACGCTATCTTGGGGGCCCCATCCTGTACCACGTATTTGAATTTTGCTGAGTTGGTGATTTCTTGATTTCCCCCATTGGTCGATACCACATTTTCCGAACACTGAAGCAAATCCAAGAGATTCCAAGAGACAATCGATAAAAACTGTGGTAAACCCAATGCCATAAACTTTAACCATCGCAGCAAAGCATCAGGGGGTCATTTAAAGTCATCCCTTAACAGTAGATCCAACTGTTTTTATATAAAATGGGAAGGTATATACAACTTATCAAACAAAAAAATGGGGATGGTCAACCATTCTTTGGTTTCCCCTCTGGTAATTTTGAACATGGCAGGGAAATCCCCTATAGATGGGTACCACCCAGTACACTAACATAACTATGGAAAATCACTTTTAAGAACGTGAAAATAAACTATCAATAAACAATTTTCCATAGCTATGTTAAATCATCATATGGGATAATGGATATTACATATATATAATGGATACTAATGGCGATGTTCAATAGCTATGTCATTGTTAAATTACAAGATTGTATTTCAATAGGAAAATCAAAGAAGTGAATGATGGATAATCCAGAGGCGACCAAAAGTGGATCTACCCCAGATATATTTTGTTGTTGGTTTAGATTCAACCTATAAAAACTAGATAGTTATAAGTATCATAAACCAGAGTAAAATTAAAGTTATGTTCACCAACTTAGCTATGATACATCAGCTATAAATCCCATGAAATCCCAATTTTTGTTGGGTAGATCAGCATGTTCCAACTGTAAACGAGGGCCCCACTCCAAGTCCAAGAGACCCAAGTGTCGATCCATTGGCACACCTACAAGGCATCGCAGTGAAACATGCGGCATGGATACTATCCAGACTGATCCATTAAGCTATGAATTTCATGAATCATCCAGTGCGAAAGAGCCATACGAACCGCCATATACCCTCCAGTAAATTAACACTTCGACCCTGCCAGTCATCGGGGTTGGAAGATTAGTTTCCACTAAGAATGGGTTTCTTGTCAGGGTCTATGTTAATTTACCAAGGGTAACATCTGTATTCACGAGTACTGATGAAATCAGCATGTTTGTTGAAGCAGCACGTTGCAAAACAAGTCCGACCCAAGATGACCCTGAAAAATCCAAGCGAAAAGCCAGGCACAGTGATGGTCGGGCTATGGCCTGTATTATAAGAAGGTAAGACACCCACATTGGATACATATCTGATTTATAGCTATCTGATGTCTATGTGATGTAATGGTTAATGTATCTCATGATGTCAGATACATATAACCAGATCACTATGTATGGCATTGTATGGCTAATATATGGTTAATATTATCATGTTATTCATACATAACATCCTTATAAATTCTGGTTGGTGGTTTCAACCCCTCTGAACAATATGAAAGTCAAATGGGAGTATTGTTCCCAACTGAATGGACAAATAACCCACATGTTCCAAACCACCAACCAGATAATATATATATATATACACTGTATAATATGGTAAATCATATGGTATATCTATATCATATCCCATAAAACCCATTCACATTTATAGATTTATGGTTATGGTATATCATGTCTCCAAATGATTGTTAATGTATCTGATCTATATCTGATGTATTGGACATCAGATGTGAACAACACCATCATCCCACTTTGGAGCATGATTTATCTGATGGTTAATCATCCCGTTTTCCCTTAAACTTTGGCCGTATCCGAAAAAAATACTTACCCTCTGGTAAACATACAAAAAGCTATTGAAAATGGCCATTTATAGTCTGATTTACCGATTAAAAATTGTGATTTTCTATAGTTCCGTTAGTTTACCAGAGGGTATTTGCTGCAAATTACCAAAGTTGTGACATTGAATATCAAGCAAACTTAAACCTTGTATGGCTAAACCCCATAGTATTCAATGGCTATATAAACCAACTTACCCTCCGGTGTCATCAAACATGGCTGGCTGGAATATCCACCATTTATAGTTGTTTTTCCCAGCTACAAACCTCCGTGTATAGGGGATGTTCCAAGATATTCCTATATGTTCCTATAACTTGCTTAGCATTTGAGTTGATGGAGGATACAACGAATCAGTCAAAGCAAGTTGTAACATGTTGTAACTTTTTCGTAACCATTGACTATTGTCATACCCAATGGAGTTATAAAGTGATACCGCATTTATAAACCAACAAACATACCCCCTGGTAAACTGTCCCATAACTATGGAAAGATCCAGCATTTTTAATGGGTAAATCCACCATAAATGGCAATTTTCAATTGTTTTTTGTATGTTTACCAGAGGGTACCTACAAACCATCCATGGTATTTTCGACGTTCCAAGATTTCCCCCACATGTTCCCATCGTCTTTCCGTGGACTTAACATCGATTTTCTGGTTGGTGGTGCAATAACCATCTTGAAAAATATGAGTTCGTCAATGGGAAGGGTTATCCCTTTTTTTGATGGAAAATAAAAAATGTTTGAAAGTCAGTTGGGATGATTATTCCCAATATAATATATATTATGGAGAAATAAAGAATGTTTGAAACCACCAACCAGTTAACATTGATTTTCCCTGGACTTCCCAGCGCCTTTTTCCGCGGTTTTCTCGTGTCCAAGATACCCAACTCCATCAGCACCTTGATCGCATCCAAGCCATTGATGCTTGCCTTAGACGGATGGGGAATCACAATACTCCCATTCATCAAAATCGTCATATGTTATTTGATTCGTGGTTGACCTACCCCTCTGAAAAATGATGGAGTTCGTCAGTTGGGATGATGAAATTCCCAATATATGGAAAAATAAAATTCATATGCCAAACCACCAACCAGTTATCCTATGTGTTATCAAATACTCCCAAAATTGATCAAAATTGATCAAATTGTATATGTTATCATGCTGTTTCCCAGTATATACCTCATTTTAAGGCAAACCCACATGGTGGGATTTTTCGCTGAAATTGGAGCTAGCCAAAGTTTGAAATCGAAAAAATGGATCAAACAAATTTCGGAGGCAGCTCAGATATACCCTCTGGTAAACATACAACCAGCTAAATAGTTGATTTACCTATTAAAAATGGTGATTTTCCATAGTTATGTAAACATTTACCAGAGGGGGTATTAAAAATCATATGATTCAAAATCATTGGATTTTGGGCGAAAGACATTGGAATTCACAAGGAGGAATGAAGGATTCAGCCTCTAGCAAACATACAAACTTGACAATGCAAAAAAAAATCACCGACAACTTTCTGTTGTACCCAACACAGGGACCTCACATGGCCCGGTGACCAGAGACCAAGCTTTGGTGAATCCACTGGTTGATACCCCAATGGCTGTCTGCTTAATCCCCATGTGTCCCCTAGAAACAAAGAATTAACCAAAGCAGCACACCTCCAGCTGTCCGCGCTTCTGCCGGTTGTTTCTTTTCGGAATTCATAAGAATTGACGGTGTTCAAAACCCTGTGTCGTCCCTGTATACTGGTTGGTTAAGAACGGATTTTCATGGATGATATTCTACTAATTCTACTGCAAAAAAGGTCAGCATGGATGGTGATAACCGCCAATAATGTGGGAAAAACATACTAAACCTCCCATGACTGGGAATGGTAAACATAGCACCTATAAAAATGGTGAACTCGGGCATGGTTTATTATTCATTCTTTTACCACCATCAATCGCCAAATATATTGGGTAATTAATGATCCCCATATATTCATCAAACCGTTTGGTTTTGAACAGCGAGCTTTCCCGAGTACATTCGATGGCTAAGAAGTTGGTGAATCCATCTTAGGTGCATAGCTATAGCTGTTTTGTGCTTGAACCCTCGATTCTTGATGTATAAATTTCTACATATTCAACTATTTACGGCTACAACTGTAACTATATTCTTTTTAATAATCCTCCAAACATAGCATGCCTCAGGGAAAATGATGAGAGCACGGCATTTTACGGCAGCCGATGTGCAATGTCACACTTTCCACCCGGTACCCGGAAATAGCTGGTGAATGTGGATGGTTCCCCCGGTAGTTTCATAGGTAACTTGACCCATCGCCATATACTCATTACACTCTGGTAAACGTTTACATATAACCATAAAACTAATTATGGAAAGATCCACCATTTTGAATAGGTAAATCATCTATGTATACCTACCCTCTGGTAATTTAACAGTTTGCTATTGAAAATGACCATAGAAATATCGTGGATTTTCCCAGTAAAAATGGTGGATCTTTCCAGTTCGCTATGTTAGTCATTACCAGAGGGTATGTTAAATGACTGGAGAGTTGTAAATGCGCAAGCCGTCTCCCGGGGGCTTTGGAAAGGGCCCAACATCCTCACACCACGCCAAAAGGCCGCTATTTTTTTAACCCAGACTATAAGTTGGTTGAAAAAAATCCCAGCAACTTGAAAACGTATACGTAACGTATATCCTAGCTATACTGGTGATAAACGAACTTAGCTCACTTATAACTGTGTGTTGACTATTTCAAAATATTCTAATAAACTCCATTGAATATTTATACCCTCTGGTAAACTAACATTGCTATTGAAAATGGCCATTTATAGTCTGATTTGCCCATTAAAAATTGTGATGTTCCATAGTTTTATGTGACAGTTTACCAGAGGGTATGTATAGATAGGTTTGGTGAAAAATCACGTCTGAGTCACATCCCAATGCATCTCTGTGGTTGGTACATAAAAACGATTGGATATACCTCCGAAATATCCCCAAAAATCAGAAAAAAAAACATCAAACCATTCTAATTTAATAATGGTTCTGAAAAACAGGTTGTAAAATATACTCTCTGGTAATTTAACATAGTTATTGAATAGATGGCTATAGAAATAGTGGATTTACCACGATTTACCCATTGAAAATGATAGATCTTTCCAGTTCGCTGACTGTAACAAACTGCCTGAGGGTAAACTTCACAATCGCTAAAAAATCGCATCTTCGACATAACATCCCCATCATTCATAAAACGTACAGGATTGGTTGAAGGGAAAATCTTAACCGGAAACCCATGGGTTTTTACCATCAAATATGGGGCTTTCCGGTTAAAATTTTCCCATCATCCAATTCTATGATAGGCCCCCCAGTGATGTTTGTTGGTTTATAAACCATTATAACCACCATTAACTATAGTTATATCTACCATAAACCATAGCCACTTATAAGGCAACTTAGCTATCTTGGGGGCCCCATCCTGTGGAGCATATGGGAATGTTGTAGCATAACTCCGATCATCATAACTCCGATCATTCAAACCGATCATCTTCGACATATCTTCGATCCATTTTGATTCCATTCATCCCCATCACATGCCCTTTTCAGAGATCCCCCAGTGAGCGATTCATCGCTAAGTTGGTGCGTTTCTAACTCCAATTTCACATGGGTTTATTGTAGATGTATCTATATATATATATTACTTACTATGGTTTACACACCAACAAACATAACTGGGGGGGACACCACCTTCTACCACTATAGATACTAGATACTAGAACATATACTATAATCTTTATATATATATAAATTACATTAACTTACTATAAATTGTTTCTATAAATAGTTACTTCATTTTAAAAGATGCTAAACAAATACTATATTACCAATATACAAGTAGCTACTCGACATTTTATCATTGGAATAAGTCTAGGAAATTTTCGGAATAACCAGCCGTATTACAACTCCCTAGGAAAAAAATGCCATAGACCATGAACCAGCCCCAAAAAACTCCCGATATTTAGGTTTAGGCCAAACTTAAAGATCTGGGGGACCAGAGATAAACGAGTCCATTTTGAGTCTTAACCATCCAATAATTTGGGTAATGTGGTTGCTATAAACCATTCCCAAATGGGTGGTTTATGGCATTGTTTTACCCACATTATTAGCGATTATAAGTTACCACCATCCAAATATGAGTTCGTCAGTTGGGATTATGAATTTCCCCAACAGAAAGGCGGAAATTCATAATCCATTCATGTTCCAAAGCACCAACCAGTGATTATTAACAATCATTATATAACCATTATCAACCATTTTCAACCATCATTAACCATCAATAACCATCATTACAAGGTGGGGCCCCCCAGTTATAAGATGGTTTATAAACCCCATTAACTATAGTTATAGGTACCATAAACCATAATTATTGGAGTTATTTGCGCCAACTTAGCTATCTAGGGGGCCCCACTTTGTAACCATCATTGTGACCCATAGCTGCTGAGCTCGCGTCCCAGCTGCCGCCAGGTGCACGGGCGTCATGTGCCAGCTATCGCCCATGGCCAACTCCTCCGGAGGTCGTGGGATGATCTTGGCCGCGAGGCGCACCTGACGGATCCGGATCCGGCGGATCCGGAGATGCGGAGATGGCCTGGGAACCCTGGCCTCAAAGGCCTGGGGGATGGCGAAAATGATGGAAAATGATGGGAAAAATGGTGGGAAAATGATGGACAATGCCTGAGAAAGTGGTGATCTTTACCATGAAAAATGAAGGATTTGATGATGACTTAAGATGATTTTAAGCAATAAACATGTGATTTCCAAAATATGTTGTGCAGCGGGAAGCCTAATTCATACCTAAGTCATGCCACAACCCTACTTCCGCATGGCACCGCTCTTTCCAGAAGTCACGCCTAAGTCATGCCCACCCGGCGTTTCAGCATGACACCGCGATGGGGATATGCACAACAAAGTGCTAAGTAGATGTTCCAAGCCCCCGTTTTAGCATGTACGATGTTGTGGGAATGTACTGGATAGTTGGCACAGATCAGGATTACCCTTCAAAATGGAAGGTCTTTTAATTTGCAGCAAAGAAAGACTAGAATCTGTGATTCATAGGACCTTCACAATTTGACCCATGCCCTTGGGTGTGCGTACATCCCATATACAATCTATATATCTGGTGGTATTTCCGCATATCTGGCATACACTGGTGTTATTGCCCACTTAGTAAGCGGGGCCCATTCCAAGTCTAAGTATTATATATATATAAACCAGTTCAACCATCAAATCCCACAATCGTCACTCACTGAATTACCAGAATAATCCCATTATATTCCGAGTAAATTCCCATTAAATCCCAAATATTGCTAGTTCGCATCCTCCATATGTTTCCCCCAGTAGTTGCAATCCTTAGTGTTGGTGTAAATATCATTAAACACACATTAATTCCCATGACATTCCATAAATGGGTCTGTCTGAAAATAGGGGATGCCCAACAATTGCTATTTTTCATGGGGAAAATCATGATTGACCTGAAAATTTAGGGGTACCCTATTTTCAATCAGTTTCCCTCTGTTTCTCTTGCTTGGCATCCTCCATCTCCGTTTCCCGCCGATTCAGAAACCGTCTCGGCGTCATCGCTCAAAACCGCATGGTGAAGCACGTTACGGCCCTGGAAGGAGGTTAAATATGGCACGGGGAGACATCAATGGGAAAAAATGAATAAGGGATGCTGAACAACAGGAAGTTTGAATCGTGATATCCCATAATTGGTGGTCACTATGTTCCATTCCCAGTTGTAGATAGTTGTTCCCATTAAATGAAGACTTTGGACTGTAATTTAATCATGCCAATGGATGGCAATTCATCCAATTTTCAGCGTCCCCAACACCGATACCCACGCAGGTACATAAATATATAAATATTATGTTACATGTGTATATATATATATGTATATATATATAGCTGTAGAAAATCTATGTAAATATGTAAGCTCAATTTAGGAAAACAAAACAGTGCGTATAGCATCAAACACATTCATGTACAACCATTGAAGAAGAAAGACGGTTGTGCCATGGTCAAGTTAAATTGGTTATGTGTTATGGTCATCCATTCAATGACATGTCAAATACCTAAACTGAAGGTAATGTATCATATAGAGGCATAATTTGTAGGTATGTCCCCTTACATAGCCCTAAAACATAGGCCTTATATATTATATGCTATGTACCTCCATCCCACGCCAATGTGATTCTGGTGGCTGTAAAAACGAAAAAAACTATAAATTAAAGATAATGCTGGCTAATAAGGCCTTAATAAAGCCAAACACAGCACCCATCCACCTGGATGTCTGTTGTCTCCACATCTTCATGTGTTGCGCCAGAGAGCTCCTCCGAAGATATCAGTATCAGAAACATTCAAAAACCATAGTTATTGGAGTTATTGGAATCAACTTAGCTATCGTTTGGTTTGGTTTGGGGTTTCCTTAGGTCCTTGAAACAGCAATTTTCATAGGGATTTCAGACGAACAAACATGAACAAGTTACCAGTACAGTACCATGTGGCTAACAAAAGTAACCGGGGTCCGGAGTATATCACATGAGCTAATTCAAGCTATCCCTATCCCATCTCATAATTAATTGCGTTGTTCACAGGAAATTCGACAGTGGATTCAAATTCAAACATGTGATATCATGTGATCATCCCGATTAAACATGATTTTTCACCAGGTAGTATCATTCTCTGTACTGACCAAATCTGACCAAAATTCTCAATGAGCTCTTACAACTTTCCGCGGAGGAAACCAAAGTTTGGATGTTGGAATCGGTGAATTCCTTCCCTCGTTCAGTCCTTTCACCCAACAGAAACCATGGTGGATGAAAGGGAATGTTTATCGACATCGGTCCATCCCGGGCCCCATCATTAAAAATGGCACTTAGCCTCTGGTTATGTCAAAATAGCTATTGAACATGGCCCATCTATAGTGGATTTACCTATTATAAACGATGATTTTCCATAGCTATGTCAACGTTTACCAGAGGGTATCACCCTCCAGAAACCGATAGTTTTTTCGGGGACTGGACCTCGAAGCGCAGCAACTGAACCACATGGCCAATGGCCAAAACGAACAAAAGTCACGGTGCCAAAAGCTAAGCCAGAAATCAAAAGCCAAAACGAAGATTTTTGGCTAAGATCAATCCAGAAGTGTCAGATCAAATGAACCAGGAATGTCAAAACCCAACCAGAAATGGTAACCAGATATTTGATCTGATAATTGTCCTCTTTTAAGGATGGTTTTTGCGTGCCAATGACTGGAGGTCTACGGCGTGACTGGATTTGACCGCACAAAAAACTCAATTCAAATCAGCATGCGGCGTCCAGGGTGGAATGCATGACAATCATTGGCCCTTTCGGGCAGTGCCTTACAATGGAAATTTCATCAACCCCATTCATACAATGTGGGGCCCCCAAGATAGCTAAGTTGGTGCAAATAACTCCAATAAATATATGGTTTATGGTACTTATAACTTATAACTATAGTTAATGGGGTTTATAAACCAACTTATAACTGGGGGGCCCCACATTGTAAGAATGATTGTAGGTTTAGTTGTACACCACAATAATAATCCCATCACATGGTTGCTCAAATCATCCATTTTTCCAAATGTGTTTTGGGGACTTCGAAATGTTTCATGGGTCATGTGCAAATCATGAAAACCATTGAACACCATTGAAATCCGTTGTCACCCCTTCAATGCGGGTTAAAACCCATTTAATACTGCCTTACTGTTGAAGGGTACGTTTTGGGGGGTATGCTTGGGGGATAATCCCGCAAATTGTTAGTGGCTGGTAGCCACAGTCATACCGCGAAAAAACCCATGTGTAAATTATTAAAATCATTCAGGGTACTTACAATCACTGCGGTTTTGTACCATGAATATCTTGGCGTAAACTAAGATAGATGTGGCAAACCCATGGTTTCCTTACGAAAATCATCGACAAATGGTGGGTTTTTCCGCATGGTTTTGTATTTTTACAAGGGGGTAACCAATCATTTGAATGTCATTTAACATTGTCAAAACAGAGGGAAATTCCAATTTCACAATACTTACTCCTGTTGGGGACGGTTTCTGATTGAATGCACCGCATTAACCACCATGTGTCTCACATTTCCATTGTGTTTGAATAAACTCTATCTTATTGCCATGCTCACCTAGTAACTATTTAGGTATGACATGAACCTCCAATCAAGTATATAATATATCACGCAAACCAACCATGTTTCGTAGCTAATTAGACATTTGGAGGTTTCCTACGTCATTGGAGTACCCCCAAATCATCCAAGTCATTCGACCACTTTAGTATCGAAACACATAGCGACTTGGGGATCACCATATGATCAGTTATTCAGAATATTATTCCTATTAATTATCATCTATTATCGCCATTATTCATTGTGAAATCCAACTAAATCCCATCAATTCCCTGGTTTTCCATGGTTCAAGCAATACGTATGGCATCAGGTTTGCCAATGGCACCACGCGCCTTCACGGCCAAGAGGGCGTCCGCTTGTCCACTGGCAGCAGCACGGTGCATGCATGTGCGGCCACGCATATCTTGGATCAACCTAGGATGTCAGGATGCACAAGGAAAGGTTCATGTCCAATCTAAATATTCATGTATGTGTATAGAATTGATTGTAAATTAAATAATATAACAAAATATTATAGCATATTATATTATATTATATTAAATCATATTATGTGAAATTAAATTATATTATATTATTTGCTATACCCCTGTAATGCTTATAACTAAACTTTAAAGCGTGGCAAACCTGCAGGCCAAAGGGGGCGGCAACGCCTGCGGCAGAAATTTAGAAATTGCGGGTCTAAATAGCGGGCCACCCTCCAGCCACTTTTCCCCGAACTAACTCTTGCAGCTCTCCCAGGCCCATCCCCAACTGTTTCCACCCAGGTTCTCCCAGGAAATCCCGGAAACCCCACAAAAGCGCAGAAAATAACACCCAGGTTCTCCCAGGAAATTCCGGAAACCCACAAAAATGCAGAAAATAACACCCAGGTTCTCCCAGGAAATCCCGGAAACCCCACAAAAGCGCAGAAAATAACACCCAGGTTCTCCCAGGAAATCCCGGAAACCCCACAAAATCGCAGAAAATAACTCCCAGGTTCTCCCAAAAAATCCCGGAAACCCACAAAATCACAGGCAATCACTAATTTCCTGGGAGAACCTGGGAGAACCTGGGAGAACCTGGGAGAACCTGGGAGAACCTGGGAGAACCTGCAAGTTGGGATTGGCCTGGGCAGACTTAGGCGGACCTGGGCCGACCTGGACGGGGGTAGCCTGAATAAACCACGCATATGTAAACCAGAGCACAATTGGATGGGACACCATTAACGAATAGTGCCGAACCAACACCGTTTTGATATGTATCCGGCACCATTCAAAAACCAGTCTTAACACCCAGAAACCCTCCAAAATTAAAACCCAGGCCACAGAATCCTGATTTATATTATATGCATTACAGGGGTTTATCAATATATTATGTTAAATTGTATTGTTATAGATTATACGATATATATATATATGTATATATATATATAGTGTTCAAACATTTGAAATACATATTATGTTCAACATATATATATATACTTCACTGGCTGAATTAAGAAAGTTCACCAACTTGCAAATAATTTGAATAATGCCATTTTGGGGTCATTTTCCCTACTAACCATCCTTGCGGTGACATCACAGTGAGATCATTATACTTTAAACAAATACAATCACATATATATATATATATATATAATAATAATAAAATATATATATAATATACATATATTATGCCCTATGTCTAAACAATATGTAAATATAAAACAACAAACCATAAAATAGAGACATGCACGTATTGAAACATTTGAAACAAACGTGCATAATATGTAATAACAACTATACAGTACATGTACAATGTATACAATCATATTGCGATTAAAAACAAACATGTTTATACGATGCACTTGCGCATGTGTAGGCACACAAAACATATGTACAGAAAACGATGTCCGGGTTCTGATCACCAAGGCGGCGTTGATCAGAAAAACCGTGCATGGAAAATGTTCGAAACACTGCCAACTACTGGAACGGTTCATACTAAACCTATTTCTTCACTAGAAAATGGCAAGGTGCAACCATCAAGGGTCCAGAGATTGGACTTCCAGTTGCTCAATAAAAAACAGGGCCGCAAACCGAGGAACCAAAACCCACAATATGCGAAGCGAACCCGTGATGCATGTTCGGTGGTTGCTGTGGTCACTGAAATCGGTGTCACATTCGGAGACCCCAATGCTTGGAACCCAGGGTTTTAGAACTTATAGCCAGCCATGTGTCTAAACACAATACTACTGGGGGAACGGACAATGATCCTAGATGGTCAAACCCAGCTTTCACTTACAGTTCCATGTCTGGTTGGGTTTCAAGAAGGGTCAGCCAACGACCTTGGTATAATATGATATAAGCCAAACTTTCCAAAGAGACCACACGAACAAGTGGCAAAACGAGATGGCTTGTTTGCGTTCAAGAAACAATTCCTAAAAACCTCAGCGCTACAGTAATTTTTCGATATTATTTCCACGATGCTGCTACATGGTAACATGTGAATATCAACAGACAGCGACCTGAAGAGGCAAGGCCGAAGAGCAATTCCTCTGACGTAATCACCTGACCGACCCGGGGCGACGTTTGGTCACAGGATGCCAGAATCTACCCCAAGACGCTCCGATCCCCCCCTAAAAGGCAAGTTGGCTATCTTGGCCACGGCACCGGCACGCGCATGCGACCTACGAGTCTTCCAGGGAGATGATGAGTTTCATTCCATCTCATTCCAGCAACTCGTTTCGTTCTTCGTCTTTTGGAACGACAAGCAGGTTATTTAATATGTTTTCGCACTCGGACCGTCATGTGCTGTTGTCTCTCCCAATCAAAATGCTTTAGAATGAGGTCAAGCACTGGTCAGATTCAACATGACAAACCAAAAGGTGGTCCAATCTGTTGAACCTGCAACAAACTTACCCAAGCACCAATTGTATCTAATTGTCATTCAGCTGAATCACAATCACTTGCAGAAACATGCAGAAACAATGTGCTCTGCCAAGAGCGCAACATACGAACAAAATGTCAAAAACAAAATCAAAAATAAGCGCTGAAAATGGCGTGGGGTTCCATTGAACTTCCGGCAGCAGCAAATTCAATACATTGCAGAATTGCAGAATGAAAATGCTGGTTAGTATCATCCGTGTTCCCCACTATTTTATATAAGTTTTGGGTCACCTTGTGAAGTGATTGATCTAAGCATGATGAATCAACACGGACTTTTGGAGACATCCCCCAACAGACCAACGGTTTTGCCACGAGAAGTGCGCATTGCGACGAGTAAACTCGAGCATCCACTACGGCGCAAACTGAAGGATAACGGCGGCTTTCTTCAATCAACATATGGGTTTGTCTGAAGATAGGATACCACCAAAATCTAGCAAGCTGCTGGTAATATCCGATGATAGCAATTGAACCATGAAAAAAACATCGTATCCCTGTATACTGGTTGGATCTGGTTGGTCAATGAGATTCCAGCGGTCCCTCCCCGAAGGAAACAAAAAACATACTAAGACCTCATCTGATTGGTGGTTTCAACCATCTTGAAAATATGAGTTCGTCAATGGGAAGGATGACATCCCATACATGAAATGGAAAAATAGCCCAAATCTTTGAAACCACCAACCAGTGATTATTATATAACCATTATATATTAATCAATTAACCATCATTAACCATAATTTACCATCATTAACCATCATTAACCATCATTAACCATCATCAACCATCATTAACCATCATCAACCATCATTAACCATCATTAACCATCATTAACCATCATTACCCCATACTATCAATCAACAAGTCATTAAACCCTTGATGCATGAGCGCAATCAAGGTGAAAGATGATGGTCTTGGACATTGCCCAAATGGTTGTGTTTCTCCATCAGCCAGGCGACCCTTGAGACACGATTTAAGGGTTGCTTGAATCCCACTGAAGATGTGTTTCCATAACTGGACCCCCAAAATGGATGGTTTAAAAAGTTTAAAGTGGACAATTCCATGAAAATGGAAGGTTGAGGGATACCTCCATTCTAGGAAACCTCCATTCTAGGAAACCTCCATTCTAGGAAACCTCCATGGAGGACGCCGTGGAAATGATTTCTCCCTGGTTGAAGTAAGAGAGTGACACTCCTATGGGTAAAGCAGTGGTATACATTGGGACAGTGTATGAGCGGGTGTTCTTCCTTGCTGCCTTAGTAAGGGTTTGTGAAATGCCGCATTGTTTTTGGAATTTCTGCGGCTGCTGCGAGATTTCATTCTCTTGTTTTTGAAACCAATTTTGGGGACTAGAACACATCGTTGGAGCAACCATACCATCAGATGGACACATCAATAATTGACCCATTTGTCCAGCGAAAGCATAGGCTCAATAAGGAACCATTCAATCTTATGAAAGCTTCACTGAGCTTGGACATCACCTCCTTTCGGACGACACAGCCAAAAATATGCAAACGTGGACTCGCAAGGGCGTATTTAAAGCGGGTATCATACACTTATTTGCAAAATATCAGATAGGAGCTTTTTAAACCACTACTAGCAGCTTGGTAAGCTTTTATTGTCTGTTTCTACCTGTGCAGATTCTTTATTTATCGGGGGGGACGTCAAGTAGGGGGGAACGTTGGAATCCCATTAAAATTGGTATCCCCATTATGGGCTAACATAAAACCCAACAAACCACTCAAACAACCAAACAACAAAGGTATGTTTACTGGCTCCATTTTTCATAGTCCATGGTTCAAAGCGCAAACCACAATGGACAAATTTCTATGGGTTTGCAACTTGCATCCCGGTTCGTGAGTAATGCTAATACGGTTTTTAAACCCCTTCCATATCAGATCTCCCCGCTTATATGCAAATTTACTTCACAAGATCATATCGCTAAGAGTCCTACATTCTTCGCGATATTTTCCTCGCGAAGAAACATGTCAACAGCACAGCTTCACCGATTTGGACTTGCGATCGCGACACCCCAAACCTAAAGGTCTCAGCGTGTCAAATGCTGGAGAACCACTGTAAAGGACTCTTAACTTGACTGATCCCAATCTTATAAATATACATATTGCGATGCAAACGAAGGATCTATATAATAAATGCACAAATATGTATGTTGGACACAAGTGTATCAAAAATATGGTATGAATCGATGCATTTGCGACAGAATCGAATTCTAAACTGATATGTGAATGTGTGGGAGCAGCACTTGTGGGAGGTTGTGACAACAAAATATAGTCAATCATAATGTGTCCCGGGAGATATTGGAGATATAGCTGGTCCATCAGTACTAATAGTGACTAACTAGTGTGACGAGCCATGACATGCTGTTGCCTCGCATTGACATGTGAAGCTTGCCTTTCCCAATTCATATGGAGATTTCCTAAAATAGGGGTAGTCCCAAATCATTCATTTTCACCCATTGTGGGGTACCACCATTGTAAACGATCCAGCTAGTAAACCAACATAAACCAATTATAAACCATCATAAACCATTGGTTTATATATGGATTTTCCATGACATAAACCATCCAGCTAGTGGGGTACCCCCATGACTATGGAAAAACCACCATCTGGGATCAAACGTTGTTTTTTTTGTGCGCGGTTCGTGTGAAGTACCATCTTCTCAGCGAAAAAATCGGGATCTTACGCCGTCTTGCGCCCCTACTACGGATGTGTTTACTGTGAAAAATGAGAAAAATACAAAGCAATGCTCTTACACGCATTCAATTCATGCTATTCCGAAATTCAAAACACAATTCTAAATCAGGTGTATACACTGTAAGAATACACTGTAATATGTGTCTTTACGTAGAAGCTTTTCATGCAGCACGCCAAGACCAGTTTGGTTGAATTCTTCACATCAAATTGTACCAAACCCTTTCTTTTAAGTTGAAAAGACAATGTTTTTTTCTATGATCATTAGCTGCCCGCCACGATACTCAATCCTTCCCACAACTCGACTTCGATGCGCATCCCAGTTGGCAAGTGCTTAGCACATGATTGATGTATGTATATATATATATACATACATGTACAGCAACCCCCCGAAAGATAGAAAAGTACATTCCAAAAACAAAAGAACATTTCTATATTTTTGGCGATTACCCTGTATATATATACATGTATTTATTTATATACACACACATAGGTTTTAAATCATAATCATTCTCCATACCAACGGGGATGGGCTTTTGGTTTGCTACCACCTGGAGATGTGTTCAAACTTATCGCATTGCTTTTGACCAAAATCGGATAGATCAGTTCAGTGATCAGGGATCTATTCACCAGTTTACAACTATATGGGGGGTTCCTAAGATGGGGGTACGCCAATAGCTGGATTTTGTTTATAGTGGGAAATCCTATTAGCAAGGATGATTTGAAGCTACGCCTATTTTAGGAAACCTCCATATGTACTATTCTGCTTGTGGCCCAACGTTTGCTGCTCCCATCCCCACGGTGGAGTTGCTTGTATCCCCAGTGTTTCTGTACAAAGGTGCATAACAATTCTCGGACCTTTCAAATCCAAGTACCCCATCATATTTCAATATGATCATATTTGTGGTTCAAAACCTTAAGTCGGGGAGCTTGTCTACAAGAAAACAGTTTTTTGTTGACTAAATCCACCCCAAAAAAAAGTTATCACCTACATCTCCGTGGTGCGTGGCTGAAGCATCTTCTTTTAACAATATGGCTCCTTCCATTCCATGGGTTATCATCTTTCCGTAACATTCAACGGCCGATTTGGCATCAGCAATGTTGAGACAAACCCAGTAAGCGTAAAATGTCCGTATTCTTGAATAGCCTCCAATTCTGTTGGATAGAAACTAAACAGAATCAAACATAATCATATTTGATCCCCGAATTGTCTAGCTCAGTTATTTATTAAATTAAACCCGCCCTCAAAATACTTGGATTTGCTTAAGGGTTCCTCAAAACATCAAGAATATTCACTTAATCGATTCCCAGTCATGGTGGATTTCCCATTGGGAAAATAAAAACCACCTTAAACAAACCCAGATAATAACATTTTGGGATGGTTTCCTGTACTACGTGAGGTCGTTGGGTCAGATGATGACCATTGGACCATGATAATTAGCTCTCTGGGATATAATGTCAACCCCGGATTAATAAACCATGGTTTATTAATTGGGTGGTACTCCTCCAATAGTCATAAATGGTACCCTCCCAATTAAAAAATCTAGGAGGTCGTTAGAATTTACCAATATATATATATATGTATACATATATATATACACTATGGCCATGTAACTAGCTATACAAATCTATATAGGCATATTGAACATCCCCATGTATGGATGATTTGCCAAACATGCAGATGTTCCCACTGGAGCCATGGAAAAAAACTAGCCAATCGCATGAAATTCACGTTGCTTGGTTGAACACCGTTTCCCATATGGGTTAGTGAAAATAAACAAGTAGATACTAGTAGAACTTCTTATTTCATAACCAATGAACAGTGATTTAGCAATGATATCCCCATTATTGTTCCTTATATTTCATAGTTTGGTGGTTAAATCACCATTAAACATTCAAATAACCAACGAACTACAAATATATCTACCATAAGCCCAACAATTATTGGAGTTCTTTGCAGCTACTTTGCATCGCTCACTGGGGCACCCCTTGTAGGTCCAACCTATCCCATTGGTTGTACGACAAGAACAACAACAACAACAACCACAACAACAACGACAACAACAACAACAACCACAACAACAACACGCAACATGCAACATGATATTGCAGTGATATTGCCATGATATTGCCATTCATGGTTATAACATGTTGTAACCAATCACCATTTAAGCCATGATATTGCCTTCATGGTTACAACCAATCACCATGTCACTGGATTAGTGGGAACATCTTCACCTGATGTTCCATTCATTTTCCCATGAATCCATAATCCTTTCCCTGGCTTTCCTGTAGAATTTCAATGGTTAGAACCAGTCACCATGGATTATTATATGAATAATATATATATGTGTGTGTGTGTGATCAATCAATATCAATATTATTATTGATATATGATTATTATTGATATATGATTATTCTTATATCAATATACATACATATATATATATATATTATCATATATCAATAATTATTATTGAAACAATCATTATTGATGGATTATTTTATCCCCATCTCATCAGTTTCCATGGGCATCAATGGCTTTCGGACCTGCGATGCCATGAGCTCCTTCAGCAAAACAGCATGGGCCTAAACGCCGCGAAGCGAACGGCGAGTTTCGCAGAAGACGATGGGATTGTTCACCCGAGAAAAAAAACATAGGGAAACCCATAAGGAAAATGGGAAAACCCATAGGAAAATGGAGTTTTACCCTCTGGTAAACTAACATAACTATGGAAAGATCCACCATTTTTTATGGGAAAATCCACTATAAATGGTGATTAACAATTATAATACCCTCTGGTTATGTCAAAAGTTTGCTATTTCTAGTGGGTTTATATGGTTTGATGGGAAAATCATGGGAATATATGGGGATACCATCTGGTTGTGTCAAAATAGCTATTGAAAATACCACATAGCAATAGTTGATTCACCTATTCAAAACGGTGATTTTCTATAGCTCGCTATGTAAACGTTTACCAGAGGGTATGGGATTCAAACATTCAAAAGAATGATTTTGAGAAGCAAACATGGGATTTTTTACGAGATTTGACCAACAATCATGAGAACATCATGGGTATATCATGGTTATATAATGGGATACAAGGTGGTGCCACCCAGTTATGTTTGTTGGTTTATAAACCATAGTAGGTAAAGATATATCTACCATAAACCATAGTTATTGGAGTTATTTGCACCAACTTAGCTAATGAACTGGGGCACCACCTTGTATTAATTGGAATATCGTCTATGACTTCAAAATAATGATTTTCCAGGCAGTCCTGGTACCCTGGTAGCCTGGTAAACACCAAAATTCAGCAGGATCATGGAAGTCCATCTCCCCACATATCAATGGCCATTTCAGGAACCTAAATTGGAGGTACCTACCATATATAAGGCCTATGTCAGGGAATATCCCAGCAAAATATGGCCGTATATGGTACAACCTCCATTTTAGGTTCCTATTGAACATATGGTAAACTAGGATGATCTGAATCTCCATTTAAAAACCAAACCTACGCTGCACGCCCGGCACCTGGCCCTGAAGTTTCTCCATCGTCACCGCCCCGTACATGGCCACGTCGGTCTCGTGACTACTTGACGACCCAGGCAGGCGTCAGGAGCCTGACTTCACTTCGGGATGGAACTGGCCTGCTGCGCTCTGCCCATTTTACGTTGGGCCAGAGCACCATGTCGGCCCCCACAATGTATCGGACCGGAGAGGGTGCCCCCACTGGCGTGGCTCTGCATACTCCGGCAATTGGGCCTCGACAATGGAGAAGAGCACAGATGGCTTGTCTGCCTCGCACGCGGCTGGGATCTGAGTGGCAAACAGCTCAGCAGGAGTGATGCCCGTTTCTTCCACCAATCCTTCGTGATCCCAGCCTGAGACAAAGTCCCGAAAACCAACCGGTATACTATTTCACACTTTTGGGTCAAGATACAGTACCCTCTGGTGAACTAACAGTTTGCCCACTAAAACAAAATCACCACTTTCAATAGGCACACCAACTATTTTTTTCATGGGCCATTTTCAATATCCCTATCCCATCGCATGAAATACTAGTTGGTTGAAAACAGTTTCCCATTCATATGGGTTAGTTCATAATCCACAATAACCAGATAGTGGAACTTCTTATTTCATAACCAATGAACAGTGATTTAGCAATGATATCCCCATTAATGTTCCTTATATTTCATAGTTTGGTGGTTAAATCACCATTAAACACTCAAATAACCAACGAACTACAAATATATCTACCATAAACCCAACAATTATTGGAGTTCTTTGCAGCTACTTTGCCATGAATCGCTCACTGGAGCACCCCTTGTAGGTCCAACCTATCCCATTGGTTGTTGGTTAGAAAAAACAGGCAGCATTACTACTTGGTGGTTTCAACCCCTCTCAAAAATATTAGTCAGTTGGGATGATTATTCCCAATACATGGAAAATAAAACATGTTCTAAACCACCAACCAGATTATATTGCAGATATATTGCCATCATATTCCCATCATTGTGAAAACATATTATAACCAATCACCATCAATGGATATCACTCGTATTCTTAATGTCACTGGATTGGTGGGAAAATCTTCACCAGCTGGTTGGTGGTATACCTACCCCTCTGAAAAATATGAGTTCGTCAGATTGGATCAACTTTTTTCCCTTGAAAATCAAATTCATGTTCCAAACCACCAACCAGACAACTATTAGTTGGTAAACACCATTGACCCACAGATCATCCAAGTCATGGATGACCATGACTTAGTATTGAAACCTATGTTTTTTTTGGGATTCCCCAACTATAGGGCTTTGCATGGCTTTCCTGACGAATTTCCCATCGAACCATCTCTGTATGCTTCACTTGTCCCCAACCATCGGCGTCCCCGCCTCCGACTTCACCATGAGCAGAGCCCCCATGGGCCGCGCTCCTTTCAGCGCTTCCTCGCGCATCTGGGCACCCAGCTCCTGGGAGCTGAAGTTGGGGTGGTTTCCGTGGAAAAACTGGGAAGAACGGACAAAAATGGTAGAAAACAATGGTGGATTCATGGAATTTGCCAGGAAAAAAGGTGGTTTCAAGCTGGAACATGATGGACTTCACCACTGAAAACAAGGCTATTGTTTGCATGGAACAAGTGTGAGCCAACCATGAAAAAAATGGGGATGATTCATTGATTTAACCATTGAAATGTGGGATTCATAGAGTTGCCCAAACACCTCAGGAGATGCAGAATGTGAGAACTTTCCATTTGTTTGGCTTCAAATGTGGCTATTAAGAACAGGTTGGAGCAAGCCTGTTTCAATTTCCAAAAATATAGAAGTTCAACATGAACCATTAACAAATATTAAAAATAACCCTATCCCATCTGTATTAAATACTAGTGGGTTCATAGACTCCGAGGCATCTGTTGTAGCGGCCTTAAGCCTTAACTGGTTGGTGCATGGTTTCAACCTACCCCTCTGAAAAATGATGGAGTTCGTCAGTTGGGCTTATGATTTATTCCCGACTGAATGGAAAATCGCAGCATGCCCCCGGTAGGGCTGACGAGATGCTGGCAGTAGGCCCAGGTGCAAGCGTAGCGTCTGATGGTGTCGTGCTCCCAAGTGAGCACCGCTCGACCAATCACACTGTCATGCCCTATTTTCTTGTAAAACGGGCCTCTGTCAATCTGAGCCGTGTCAGGGGAAACTCTGACCAGTTCCCAAATCGCGGCGTCGCGCGTGCACGTCAGGCGGCCACCACTTGTTTCCTGCTCAACTGCGGAGACGATCTGTAAGGGAAAAGTCCCATGTGCTTTTACTGTGAGCATTGGCAGACCATCGTCGCCGAGAGCGGTTGAGTTCAGGCCACACAAAACCATTCGGCCCTCAGCAGTATAGGCAAACGTATCCAACACTGGAGCAGAGCATGAAACGCTGCCAAATCGACCCATTGAACTGCCCCAACTCCTCGGGCATCGACAGATTTTCGAGCTAGACATTTCTGAGTGTGTTGTGAGCAACCGACACAATGTGCACAACTTGGTCGCCACGGAAAGCAGCTCGGAAATGATTGCCGCCATTGTGTGCAAGGGTAAGGACAGGGGCTGACTCTGCACCTTCCACGAGCGGTGGCACAACGTAAGTTGCATACCCGCATGCCAGCCAGCCAGGACGTGTGGCAGTTATCACTTCAACCGGCCGACCCGTGATGCAGGCAACTGCAATCATCGCAGTCTCTGCGGATGCATTCCGGTCAAAATCAGTTTCCGTCACTGCTGCCAAGCGAGAGCTTTGAGGAGCGACTCGACTGTTGCGTCAGTCGTCGATAGAAGCCCTAAAGTCTGCAAAAGCATCCTCATAAGGGGAGTCGACAACAGGTCGGGGTTCTCAATGTTCCAAACCACCAACCAGCTATACCATTTCACACTTTTGGGTCAATACCCTCTGGTGAACTAACAGTCTGCGTTAGTTAATGCAAAATCACCACTTTCAATAGGCAAACCAACTATTCTCATGGGCCATTTTCAATATCCCTATCCCATCGCATGAAATACGTTGGTTGGTGTTTCTGAAGTTGTTCTCTGGTTTGTGCTGGTCGGCATCCGCCTTTCGCATGCAAGATACACCACTGCAATCAGCCGAAGAACAGCGAACAAAACCAAGGGACACCGGGGACAACGCGGATTAACGGATTACCCTCTGGTAAACTAACATAACTATGGAAAATCATCATGTTTTATCGGAAAACTCACTATAAATGGCCATGTTCAATAGCTATGTTAAATTACCAAATGGTAAATTCTATAACTTTGAGAAAACAAAGTACCAAACACACAAGCTATACATAATGACTCTGATTCATGGGAAATTATCACCTTGTGGGCAGGGGGCAGGGCGGCTCAAATAATTTCACTCTCTAACTTTTGAGTGTGCTATGTGCAAAAAGTAATTTGAACAATCTTGATGGTTCAAGATTCACGTTCACTCAAAACGGCAAAAAACACATTCCTGGACCTTCCACGGTCCTGATTTTTTAAACTTGTGGTACTTTGTACGCAAATGCCCTGCAAACAGCCGCAAAACTTGCAAAACGTTCCAAAAGTGCGATTTGGATCAAACGTCCAGATTTGGTTTAGAAGTGCGAATTCAATCCTTCCGGGTCAAATTTAGAAAGATCACGCATGAGCAAGGTCCCAATCTGAATCTACACACACATGAATGATCCCATAAATGGTTACCTTGCCTGATTACTGTACATTTAGACTGAATGCGAACCACCTCCTGGGTCTCAGCCTGAAATTAATGTTGAGCCGGTGATTTCGGACTGATTTGATGAATCAAATTTTGGCTGGATCTCAGTCTAAATTTTGGAAGAGTTCAGGCTCAAATGAGAAACAACTCATCTGGTTGGTGGTTTGAACCCCTCTGAAAAAATGAAAGTCAGTTGGGATGATCATTCCCAATATATGGAAAAATAAAAAATGATCCAAACCACCAACCAGTCATGTGCGGGAGTGCTGGAGTTTTGGAGACATGTTGGAGCATTGACGGATGGGAGGAAAACAACGTTAGCATATCTTGGCATGCTGCTAGTTTGTCGCAGGCATTAGCATATCTAATCTAAGCTCCTGCTTGTCGAACCCGAGGAAGTGCCACCCTTTTTATGACTTGAATTTCATGTGTAATTATATTATATAAATATGAAATTTCGGGCTGATTTTGGCTGAACCTCCCAAACAAATGATTAACAACTCGGGCAAAAACCACAGTGTCCATGCAGATACATATGATTTGGCAAAAACACGAAAATGCATTGATTATTACAATATATGTGTTTTACTTTTGTGAAGGAGGGCTCAAAAATTGATTGAACTACTCGTGTTTCGAACGTTGGTGATTGGCAGAGGGCTTGTTTAGTGCCTCTTTCTTCCAATCATCATCACCAGCAAATTTGGTAGTAGAAGTCCCTAGTTCGTAACCAATCAATTATACCCTGGTTATTTAATAAGGATTCCCCTATTGGATTATCAAAATCCCAAATATATTGGGTAGTATAATCCCCCAACTAATCATTAAACAACAGGGTTTTGAACAGGGAATTATATAAGTATCCAAAATGGATAATCAAATGGATAATCCTTAAAAGATCATGATAATCCCCTATACTAATAACGGTTTAATGACGGTTTATTGGTTCATTGACTATTACGGTAATGAACCAAATATCCAAAATACCTACAATGGTTGAATCGATAGTAATAAACTGTTATCTCATTAGAAATATGTGTATATATATATATATCAAATGAGCTGTTCTTAATAATCATGTTGTTACTAATAACCATTTATACTGGTTGATTGCCCATCTGGTTGGTGGTTTCAATCCCTCTGAAAAATATTAGTCAGTTGTTCACCTTATTCCCAATATATGGAAAAATAAAAGCCATGTTCCAAACCACCAACCAGTTATTCTTTGGTTTAAACATTGCCGTTGATAACCGATTGCCAATCTTAGATACCCTGCAAAAAAAAAAATCTTTGCTGGTGAACGTAGATATTCCCATTAATACCAAAAGACTAAAGGATTAAAGTATCCATGTAAGATTGACCTAGTAACCCATATTATGAACAGCTCATCTAATCAATGGGAATTCCAGGATCCTAAAATGAAGGTACTGTACCATATAAGGCTATATTTTGTGGGGATATTCCCTTACATAGGCCTTATATAGGCCTTATATATGATAGGTACCTCCAATTTATGTTCCTGGAATGGCCATTGATTTAAGGTTTATCTTTTCCATCTTGCCTTCCCAGCAGCTCCTCCCAGTCCCAAAGGTCAGGATCTGCGCCGACGGCAGAGGCTGCTACCGACACGGCCTCCATGAAAGGCTGCCAGGCCACCTGGCGTCGGGAAGTTCATGGAAGAATCACATGTACCCTCATAGTTATGGTAAATCAACGGAAACTATAGTTATAGTTATAGTTATAGTTATAGTTATAGATATGATTATAGTTATAGTGATAGTTATAGATATGATTATAGTTATAGTTGTAGTCATCGTTATAGTTATAGTTGTAGTTGTAGTTAGAGTTATAATTATAGTGATAGCTATATAGTAATGATTATAGTTATAATTGTAGTTATAGTTGTAGTTTTAGTTATAGTTATAGTTGTAGCTATAGTTATAGTTATAGCTATAGTTATGATTATAGTTATAGTTATAGTTATGAGTTTAGTGAAAGTTATAGTTATACTTATAGTTATTGTTATGATATTAGTTATAGTTATAGTTATAGTTATTAAAATTCTAGTTATAGTACATTAAAGTTATAGTTATAGTTATAGTTCAATGAATATGAATATTTATAGTTGATGAAGCATCATAATTGATTTACAGTACCATGGTAAACTTCAATAGCTACGGAAATTTATAGTTGATTTACCTATTCAAAATGAATGCAGTAGATAGTTCCCATTTCTGGATATTTATGGATATTCATGGATATCTAACTATTGTGTTAAAGGGTTTTGTGGGTTATTTTTTTCTTATGAGCTAGCAGCTAGCTAGTTTAGGAAACCTAATCAAACAATCATTGCATATAAGCATAGCAGAGATACGAGTAACTAGAGAGTATCTATATTTGCTAAGATAGCATGTGAAACATCTTCATATTTATGTTTTTTTGATTGAAGTATCAAATTTATTAAACTTAAACCTAATTGATAATATGTCATGTGTATATATAGTATTCATGAATATAGCAACAATCATATATTTGCTAAGATCATTCGAGGAACTTTGCGATAAAAATCTTATTTTGATGGGTTGAGTGAGTGAATTCTCTGACATGGCATATTCCCTAAAGGTTACCCAGGTTCTCCAAATGGTGGATGTGTGCTAAAACATATAATATTAAAAAAAAAAACTGAAGCAACCTAGGTTGTGTAGTTTCTATCTAGTTGTTCGAAAAGAAATGGGATCATTTAAGTCATTTGGGTGTTTGAACAGATTCGAACCATTTGCATTGGCTTTTGGGCAAGTGTTATGTGTTTGTTTGAGATACAGTACTGGTTGGTGGTTTCAACCCCTCTGAAAAATATTACTTCGTCAGTTGGGATGATTCTTCCCAATATATGGAAAAATAAAAAATGATCCAAACCACCAACCAGTGATTGCTTTTTGACCAAGGACCAATTCCTATCACCCAACCCCAATCCGTGTCCACCCTACCATGTCACCCCATGACCACCATACCTATCATGCCATCCGTTTGACTAAATACATCTAAATACTGGTGACTGACCAAAAGTTAGGAAAATCGTTTGAACATTAGCAACCAATATTTTTCGGTGTTTCTTAAGTCATGGGATCCCCAGTCGTCACCATGGCTTTCCAAGTCACTATTAATACATGGTCATTCATGACGACGGGATGATTTGGGTTACCCACCATCTTGGACATTGGAGGAGCCACACTTAGTGGATGTAGCCTCCAGTAACATGACGACCCTGGCATGAATTTTGGGGTTGGAAGATGAGTTTCCATTCAAACTAGGCTATTTTCAGGGTCGAACTCTTAATTTACCAGAGGCGAATAATTGGTTCATATTTTTCTCCGATGATGAAAATAGGTGGTCTCGTTTCGGGGCCAACAAAAACTCCTCAAAATCACATATTAGTTACTTATAATCCATATCTTAATCCAAAAATATAATCCATATATACAATCCATCTATATGGTCCATATAACTGATGAAATATGATCATAGACCGGTGGTACCAGTTAGAGCCTCATGAGAAGCAATTATAATCAGCTATATGTACGACTGAACATAAATATAAATATAAATATATATATATATATGGATATTGTGAATATCTAACTAGTGTGTTTAAAGGGTTTTGTGGATTATGTATGTCTTTCTTATGAATTACCTAGTTTAAGTAAGAATCCTAATCAAACAATCATTGCATATTATAATGGTACTAACCGGTGCTCCGAGTCGTGGACTGACGGCCTCAAGGAGTGCCTGCACCGCACCAAATTTGCCCCGCCTGAGTCGTGGAAGAACGTGGCGTTGCTGTGGCAGAATGGGGCGGCTATAAAATGGCATATGAATAGGATATAAATGTATAACTATGTACATATATATATATATCACATTTATATATAATTAATAATTATGATAATAACAAGAAAAATAATACATATGTATATATATATAATATATATATATAATATATATATAATATACACATCATATACATATAATGTACATATATATAATATAATATATAATATATAATATATATAATATATAATATAATATATATAATATAATATAATATAATATATATATATATATAAATAATATTATATATATAATGGGATCTAAGAAAAAAGAAACAAATCTGATTTCAATGGCAGGTGAAGGTCAAGAATCACACTGCGGGAGAAAAATCCCCGAAGGAACTGGAGTTTTTTTTGGCTGGGAAAATGAGCTACTGTGGATGGTTGCGAAATCCTGCACCAGTTGATCGATGGTTTATCCCTTTATTTATACAATGTGAGGCCCCCCAGTTATAAGTTGTTGGTTTATAAGCCCCAGTAACTATAGTTATAAGTACTATTAACCATAGTTATTGGAGTTATTTGCACCAACTTAGCTATCTTGGGGGCCTCACATTGTAGGGTTTCAACCATCCTTTCAGTGGTGCAGGATTTCGCTGGCCCATCCACAGTATCTCGCTGGAGGATTCTCTGTTGCCACGTTTGAGGACACCGGACGGTAAATGGAGAAATCCATGGCAAATCTGACAAACTGGTTGGTGGTGCAATAGCCATATTGAAAAATATTAGTCAATGGGAAGGATTATCCTATATTTATAACTGCAAAACCACGCCAGAAACAATTCATAACAACAAATCATATCTGAAACGTATCAAAATCATAAAGAATATTATTTTGAAAAACCTTCATCCTAGAGACTTCGGATGTTGTAATCCTATATATTATGGAAAATAAAAAATGTTCCAAACCACCAACCAGCCAAGTTTATCTATTGAAAAAGGGATGAAAAGGGTGGACTTTGGACAGGATATCTGAATTTTTAGCGGCAAAAATCTTGGTGCAGGTTGAATCGATCAACTCATGTAAACTCCCCAAATCATCCAGAATATAGACTGCTGGTTCTCTAAAAGCGTGGCCAATCTCTAGTACCTTGCACTTCGCATGTTGCTGGGTAAAATATCTCCCCCCCTTGAACAAAAGCAAACTACTCAACGAAGGCTTAACATGGCTTAACCATGCAAAAACAACCCAACATTTGATGATTCCCTCCCAATGAAAACTATGTTAGAACATGTATTAAAATTGCAGTGTTGGGAGTATACCATAGATCCATAGTGACTACCAAGCATAGTTTCAGATAGGCACATCCATGTTGACCTACCATCTGGCTATTTAACATAGCCATGGCAAATCATCATTTTTAATAGGTAAACTATCTATAAATGGGCCATTTTCCATGGCTATGTTAAATAACCAGAGGGTATATCACAGATTGTATCATCCCACTAATCCTGACCTGTTTTTCTGTTTAACTCCCCATGTTCCACGGTTTTTCACATTGGGTTTACCATAGAAAAAAAAAACGATTCTATTGGGTCAAACACCAAGTTTATCACCATGTTCACCTAAGATCTTCCATATATTATTATATATTACTGGTTGGATCTGGTTGGTGCAATAACCATCTTGAAAAATGATGGAGTTCGTCAATGGGAAGCATCCCATATATGAAATGGAAAATATAAAACCACCAGCCAGCCAAGTTTATCACTATGTTCACCTAAGATATTCCATATATCTGGGTAAATTATAATATTTCACTAACTTGAATTAAGGCCATTTGGGGATGATTCCCCTTCCTAACCATGGTTCCAGTGAGGGAGAACAGTGAGGTCGTTATAATTTACCCAGATATATTATATTAAAGCCCTGCAGTACCCTGCAGTAATCAAACATGGCACTTGAAAATCCCCGATTTATAAATCGTCCAGCGCGTCCAGCGCGGAGGGTGGTGTTACTGTATACTTCCAAGTTAATGTCAACCCTGGATTAATAAACCCCAAACGGTTGTTTGATTGGGGGGATACCATTTAAGTATCAGATTATTACTATTTGTGCAGTACCCCCCTAATTAATAAACCATGGTTTATTAATCCGGGGTTGACATTACAAAGCAGTTGAAGTCATTACAATCTCCACTGATTGTTTGGGTTTTTGATCCAATTTTCCCTGGGTAGATCATCGCGCTTTGATTGCCAACCACCAGAGGCTAGCTCGAGAAAAATCGACCATCAACCCGAGTGAGTTCTTGGAGTGATTTCCAGCAACTTAGCAAGTCCGAACTGGGGCCCCACCTTGTACCTCTGTGAATCAACCTCTATGATCTTTAACTTGTGCTTTTTTACGTCGGGAATTTTCGGGAATGATCCACTGGCTAACTATCAATCATCCCAGCAACCCCCAGCAACCCATCCAGCAACCCTACGTAAAACTCACCAGTAAGTTAAATCACCATGGAACCTGCCAGTTGTCTATGCTTAATTTGACAAACAAAGGGATTCAACCAACCAAACGTGTCCCCTCATAGATGGCGAATCAGCAAATCAGCCTTTCTTAATGGTTGTTGGCTAATATACCCTTCATAAACCCTTATTACTGTGGGTCACCCTTAGAGGGGCTATCTCATTGCGTACATATTCTTGAATTTAAACACTTAAACCCCAAATCAGTTAGTTAACTCATACCTTATACCATTCGAAACGGGTTGCTTACAGTAATGAAATCATATTAAATCATATTAAATCATATTAAATCATATTAAATCACATTAAATATCATTAAATCATATTAAATCAATCAAATCCATGAAGTTTATGTTCCCAATGTTGACCTGGTGGCTCGCACCATGTCCAGGGCGCCTATCCGCCAGAACAATTGGTGTGGGGCTGAAAGTACAGCGCTCCAGTTCCACGCAGCCCTCGCGGAAGCCGCTCCTCAGCACGCGGCACGCGACGCGCCAAGCGCGGCGCGGCAGGGGAGGCCGCGCCAAACTAAAGTCGTGGTGGATTTGAGGTGATAAGACTCATAAGACTGGAAGATACTGGAAGTTGATAAGTTGATGATCTTTCGGTGAAATGATATGTTATAAATCCCAACTAGATAGCTCTTGACCCACAGACATTTTTTAAAATTTTAGACAAAATCGAGCAGTGTTCTACCCTTGCTGACCTCATGCAGCCGCCCCCGACGGTTCGGCCGGTCCCTTTGGGCTCCATTGGCCTCTGTTAATGGTGGTGATGGTGGTGATGGCGATGGTGATGGTGGTGGTGATGGTTCTGATGATATCGACATGCATAGTTTTCAGAATGTGTTCTTTGTTTTGACAAGTTTACCCTCTGGTAAACTAACATAGCTATTGAAAATGGCCATTTATAATGAGTTTCCAGTTAAAAAAAGGTGGATCTTTCCATAGTTATTTTGGACAGTTTACCAGAGGGTAACAAGTTTACGTGGTTTTAAGAAATGGTCCTTTCGACTTGATTCCGACTCTTCCTATATTTGTCTCTTATCAATCTTTGCCTCCAATGATCATTGGCTTTCTCGTTAAATGTTGCTGAATTGCAGTGCTCCAAACCAAACCAGCAAGGCACTGTGACCCAGGGTGACCCAGGGTCAGGCTTCCCATGAAGAAGCTGCCGAGCTTTTGACTCTTCAAATTTCCTTACCTGGTACCTCCCTATTTCAGTTTAATGTGTGCTATCCTTGGCCCAATCTTAGATACCCGATAAATTATAACAGACTTAAGTTTTGGTTGGTTAGGTCCAAACATCATCATAGCTGTAGATAAAGTTGTATTGGAGTAGCCATCCAATAGGTTGACTTCCAGGTCAACTGGTCAGGTTCCAACCATGTTCCAACCATTTTCCAGCCATTTCCAGCATTTTTCCAACTTTTTCCCACCACGTTTCCAGCATTTTTGGTAATTAGCCAGGTTATATTCCCATCATGGTTGGTTATTAACAATGATAAACCATCATTAACCATCATTACCCCATACTACACCAATGTTTGAAACCACCAACCAGTTTTTGGTCATTTCCCATCATTTTTCCAACCATTTTCCAGCCATTTCCCATCATTTTTCCCACCATTTTTCCCATTTTTGGTAGCCAAGGTTCTTGTGTTTGATGGTCACTTGATCGTCACCGAAAACCCGTGTCACGCGGCCCAAGGTGAAGAATTCTTCGTCCTAGCGGGGTGCTAAAAACAGGAAAGACAAATTAAGTTTATGGTTTCAATAACTGACATGTTTTAAACACTAGTATAATATATATATATATATATAATAAATACATATATATCATTATATATATTATATAAATATATATCTATCTATCTATCAATAATAAATAAATATCTGTATATATTTCTAGTTGATGTATGTTGATGGGGGTTGTAAACCAAAATCACTGGATTCAACTGCCAATAGCTGGTCTCAGATTCGCGCATGATTTTGTTGGGGTCACGCTTGCCGGATGTTAGTTATACTAGTCACCCTCTGTTTATTTAACATAGCTATATGGAGCTATATGGACAATGGCCCATTTTGGGATGATTCATAATGATTCACCTATATTACATATGGTGATTTTCCATGGCTACGTTAAATAACATGAGGGTAAATCATATCAAAACCCCGTTAAACTTAATGACATGGAAGAAATCACAATGCAACAAAATGAACCAACTATGTATTATACATACATTTATATACTTCAAATGCAATCAATGGCATGTGTCTATTGGCACAAACCCTGTGCCAGAGATTTTAAGAGCAAGAGGCTCACGTTTAAGCAGCTCAATCAAATGGGTAAACACAATGCAGACATTGTTTTTAGACATTTTTTTGATTTGAATTCCGATGCTATTTCATGGGCTTATGGAACTTCATCAATGGCACGACAATATTGAATTGGGATGCTCTTGGAAGTTAACCAACAATCATGGGGATGTAGTGACTATAGTGGGAATATCAATAACAAGTAATTTAGGAAACCTGCGAAATCCGTATTGGAACTGTAACCTGCAAAGGTTTTCAAGTCTCTGCAAGTGATACTGGTGCCCAGGTAAAGTGGACCATTTTGAAGAAGGTGATATATCAGCGGTATTCATCATGTCTTGCTAAAATGTGACCCAACCATTGTGGAATATTGTTCGATATTCACATGGGTTTTAGTCTACCAAAAACCGGGCCGCCAGAGTGGGGAGTATATATTATATGACTTGTTCAGAACTGGGATGCAACCAGCGAAATTGCAAACAAGAAACGTCTGCGATGTCATATACTCCCGTGAAATCGATATGGAGTGTCCAAATAATACCAAGATTGCAAATGCCCTGAGAAATCATTTTCCAACTTCATGTTCAAAGATTCCGTTTTAAACGATTGGGGATTTTCCAAAAGAAATCATTTTCCCAATTTTAAGCGCCATACTTTCGAAAGCGATTTTTAGATTCCATCGAAAGAAGCCTCTGGTGCCAGCGGCTTGGGTCAAGTGGACGGAATGATGGGGGCAGGCCGAAGTCACCGAAGTCGCCAATTGGTTTCTGGGAACCTCTTAGCCGGAAACTCCATGGATTTTCCAAATGAAAAAAAAGGGGGGGTTCCTGTAATTGTTCCACCAATGTAATTTTCATGAAATGTGTTTGAACAATATGTTTTCCTATGCATCACTTATTGTCATGGCTGTTATTGCCACAGCCATCTTGAATTTCTCAGCAATTCTGCAGTGAATGCGCAGAAGTGCCATTTATGCTGGTTTAGGTGACCAGCAATAACGGCTCGAGCGGCTTTTGTCGTGCCCACAAGCATGTTGTTGATCGCCTTCAACTTGTCCCAATCTATTTGCCATCACGAGAGAAAACCATCACTTGCACGCAGTTCGTCCACTCCTCAAGCGCTCTCTGTATTCCACTCCTTTGGATGGTGTCCGCTATCAGCCTTGACGGTCATCAGGTAGCTGAACTGGAGAGCTAGGCTCAATATCAGCGCACCTCAGTCTTCCTCGTCGTCCCAGAGCCACGACACCAGCCGAATGGTGCTATCTCCGGCGCCCCGAAAGGAATTTGCGGGCTGCTGCCGCCGTGGCATCGGCCCGTCCTGCAGCGAGTATCAGGTGGTAGTGGTAGTGGTAGCTTGGTCCACCATGAGATTCATCGTAAGCAGCCATGCCTTGTCAAGGAAGTTGGCAAACGGAAGCAACTTCTCCCAGTCACCATCATTGTTGACATCAAGCTTAGCACAGCCCATCAGGATGAAACAGATCACGGAAGCTTTGGCGTACCCCTTGATGATATCCAGCGAGTTGTTTTGCAGCTTGATCTTTTCACCTAAGTACTGGTTGGTGGTTTCAACCTACCCCTCTGAAAAATGATGGAGTTCGTCAGTTGGGATGATGACATTCCCAACTGAATGGAAAGTCATAAAAGCCATAATCCAAATGTTCCAAACCACCAACCAGAGTAGATCTGGCTTTCATGTTGCAATGTCTCTGGTGTGACAAAACATTGATGGATCCTCTCATGGGATTTGGCCAGTTTTTGGCTGCTTTGATTTGGCAGATGCCTAAGTTAGGCTTAATAACGGGATTAAAACCATAGTTAGGATTTAAAACCATCTGATTTGTAATCAACGTTTTTGATTGTGATTGATAAGACCCATTCGGCAGCCAATGGCAAATCTCATTGATAATGGTACTGATTTTTTTCGAACGCATAACCCATGACTAAACCCATCATAACCACCATACTACGTAAGAATGGGATTAACCGATCAACGCGAACTGTGGCCGGTGGTGTCAACCTATCAACCGATTTCTCCCCAACTTGCGGGATCGTCCGGGCTTTTTTCACACAAAAACCACCGTGCAGTTGGTGCAGTTGTTGGGCACCCTTAAGCACTCATGGTTGTTGGTATTGCCCCATCTTACTAACCTTGGATATATATATATATATCTGCTAAGCTCGGTCGCGCCTCAGAATCATCACCCTCAACCTGCCGAAGATGAAGGGCAGAAAGAGGTAGAGGATATCCGGTAAATCCCCAAATCTTACCTGTCATTCTAGCTGACATGTTGTCATTCTAGCCTACTAGTAGCTGACATTTTATGTGGCATTCTACGTCTGAAAATGTCAGGTCGTTTTAGGCGCTGCAAACATGTGTTTTGCCTTTTGCTTCTTAAGCCCAAAAAATGCAGCAACAGCTCAAACAAAGTCCTAAGATCCAAGAACAAAGTAGCAGCAGCATCTAGTTGTTTCAGGTACAATCAGTCGATCAGTCGGTCAAACTGCATTTTCTCCCTGGTTTTGGGAGGCTCGAGGCAAAATATAGCATAATATGGGCGGTTCCTAAACTAGGGGTACCCCTAAATCATCCATTTTTCAATAGGATTTGTCATTATATGCCATGAACTAAACCATCCAGCTATTGAGGATCCCCGATTTAGGGAAACCTCCGTATAGACCGCAGCCAGGACAGCTTGGCGCTGAGTAACACTTCGGATTGTCGGGAAAAAAATTGAATATAACAGGATGGGGCCCCCCAGTTAAAATGTGTTTGGCTAGTCTGGGGTGAATTGATTGCGTTCAGAGTTTGTGCCTGATTTGGTGGTTATATAGTTGCAAGCTGATGGTGGGATGGGTGGAAGATGAGGGAGGCTGCCTCTTTGTTCTGCTTTCTTCTTTGGATTGAAAGAAGCTGTGTAACCTATGTCTTGAATCGGTGTAACACAAATATTGTTGCATAGTAGGGTATTCAAAGCAAGTCCTTCAGGATGGGGCCCGCAAGATAGCTAAGTTCTTGGTATTAAATGATCATCACCAGAAAAAAAAGTTCCTAAAGGTCTAGCATTCTTATCATCACCGAACTATTCTTCAAATCACTACTATAGATCCAACAATTTTCAATTATTTTCCATTGGTAGAAAAATCCTTTGAGTTGGTAATGTTTTCATTTAGGCGCAGAGTTTGTGTTTGCTCATGGTGTTGTCTAGATGTTTGAAGTTTACATACGAACGCTTGCTCTGTTGGGATGGGACCTATGCTATCCTCGTTGAGTATTCCCCAGCCAGATGACCCAAGGTTTACCTACGAAATGCTAAACTTTGTTTATTAATATTGGATAATATTGGATTGTTTCACCTAAAGACTTGACTTGTCAGTGATCATGTGCTTTACGACGTATCCCACCCTCACGATTGGAATATGTTTCTTTAGACCTAAAGATGAATATGTTTCTTTAGACCTAAAGATGAATATGTCAAATGAAGCAAGCAATCATTAGACTCTAACCCTGCCACTATAACTTAGGGATTGGCATGGTCAAAACATGGTATATGGCATATGGGGTACGTCATCCATCCCGTAATTGAAGTCATGGGTGTATCAAACCCTGTTGATTTATTGATTGACTACCATCCCACCAATATGGGTTACCCAAGTTCTGACCACGGCACACTAAGGGTCAGCATATCGCCCATGACAAATTCCATGATTTTCCACTTAAAACCTCATATGTACTGTATTTACCGTGAACTACATGAAGATTTTATACATACATTTTCATATATATATATATACATCATTTACCCATAATAGAATCCAATAATATTTCATTCACATATAATATATATATATATATATGTATATTATATATATATATTATATGATATATGATATAATATATATCATACATATATATATATATACATACAGTATATTTAAAAAAACATAGAATCCTCCAGTCACCATGGCACTGGCTGCTATAAAACGCCTGCGAGGAGGCCCCCAAGCTCTTCACGTGCGTCATGGCTCCGGCGGTGCGCGAGCGGGAGAAGTCCGAGACGTTGCCTGCGCGTGGCGCGGTGCCGGCGTGGCGGTGGGGATTCGAAACGGGTGGAGCGTTGAAAAAGAGGACGGCTGGTTGGTTAATATGGGAAAATCATGGGAAAATCATGGGAAAATATGGGAAAAACATAGGAAAATATGGGGTAATATATGGTTATTATATGGTTATTACTGTTAATAATGGTTAATTATAAATGGTTAATATATGGTTCTAACATATTTCCCTCTGGTAAACTAACAGTTTGCTATGGAAAATGGTCAATTTCCAGTGGATTTAGCCATTAAAAATGGTGATTTTCCATAGCTATGTAAACGTTTACCATATCTGGTTGGTGGTTGACCTACCCCTCTGAAAAATATGAGTTCGTCAGTTGGGATGATGATTATTCCCAACTGAATGGACAGTCATAAAATTCATGGTCCAAACCACCAACCAGACGGGGATGTGATCAATTCAACTATACTGCACAAAATGACTGAACATGTTGTTTCTTGGGTCTAGATTGTTGACTAATACCCAACTAAAAGCCCCAACATCTCCATATCATCAGAATTGAGCAAATCAATACTTGGTGGCTCATCCCACTTACTAAGTAGGTTATATCATGTATTATCATGTTATATCCCTGGTTCCAAGTGGGATAAGTAGGGTTAATCCACTTACAACTGGGGTTATAACATGTTATAACCTACTTACTAAGTGGGATGAACCACCAAGTACCCTCTGGTTCTTTAACATAGCTATAGAAAACCACCGTTTTGAATAGGTAAATCATCACACATCATCTAAAAATAAAGGCCATGGCTTCCATAGCAAACTGTTAGTCATAACCAAATGGTACCACGAAACATATATGGATATACCACGATTTAAGCCATGAAAAATGGTGGTTTTCTATAGCTATGTTAAAGAACCAGAGGGTACTTGGTGGTTTTTTCCCACTTAGTAAGTAGGTTATAACATGTAAGAAAACCCCAGTTGGAAGTGGAATGAGACATTGAATTCTGTCAATTCAATCAAATTCTTGGTCACTAACCCTCAATGTTTTTCTTGTATTGGGATGTGAAGCATGTCACTCATCACATGAATTCTTGGGTCTCAAAATCAGTAAAGAAATGAAGAAATTAATCAATGAGTGAAGCAATCAATGAGTGAAGCAAGCTGAATACCCTCTGAATACCCTTGGGTAAATCAATGAATCGATGAATCAATGAATGAACAAATCAATGAACCACTGAGTAAGTGAACCAATGAATCAACGAATAATTGAATCAGTCAATGATTCAACGAATGAGCGAATCAGTAAATGAATGAATGAATCAATGAATGAGGGAATGAATCAGTAAATAAGTAAATCAATGAATGAAATAATGAATGAAAGAATGAATCAATGAATCAATGTGGGGCTATGAAAGAGCCAGAAAATGAATGAATTACGACTTCGTTGTTCATTGACCTACCCATTCCCCGTGCCAAGTCTTCTGAAAACCGACTACTTATATAATCATGACCGAGCCATTCTTGGCTGGGAAATTTGCTAACTAGACTTCTTTGGATTATCCGATCTTATTCTCATTTGTAAATTCACTTGTCCTATATCATACTTAGATTTGATGGTAAAAACATCATTGTTTGATGGTTACATCCAATTTTTGACATTTTTTTGGCTCATTGACTGCTGATGTATCCCGTGACAATATACCCATAAAATGGCAGCCATATCAACCGACCAATCATACGAATCCGTAGTGTACCCTCCAGTAAATTAACAGTTCGACCCTGGCAGACAGGGGTTGAAAGACTAGTTTCCACTAAAAATTGGGTGTTTTCAGGGTCGAACTGTTAATTCACCAGAAGGTACAGGATGGGGCCCCCAAGATAGCTAAGTTGCCTTATAAGTGGCTTAGCTATAGTTTATGGTAGATATAACGAACTAGTTAATGGAGGTTATATTGGTTTATAAACCATCAAACAGAACTGGGGGGCCCCATCAAGTATCTTGTTTCAACCAACATGGTTGTTCGCTGACACCCTTTTTTCTAGTAAGATCCACATCTTTGACAACAGGACCCAGTTTCCCCAGTGTTTGTCCAGCTATGGAACTTACCACTTTCCTAGGTAATCACTTAGAAAATGCTTCCCACATAGCTGGCTTTGTTACCCTCTGATAACTTCACATTGCTATGGAAAATTACCCTCTATAAATAGTAAATAATCTATCATGTAAGCCATTTTCATTCATTTTCCATAGCTATGTTGGTTTACCAGAGGGTAGCTGCCTTTGTTTATACAGTAAACCATAGATTGTCCCATGAAATATGGGCGTTCCTGAAGATTTTCCCTTAAACTAATCCATTAAATCAACCAAGATTCCATTAAATCACCAATCCCATTAAATCCCATTATATCCCATTAAAATCCCATTAAAATCCCTTGAAAATCCCTTGAAAATCCCTTGAAAATCCCATTAAATCCAATTAAAATACCATTTAAAATCACATCAAAATCACATGAAAATCCCATGAAAATCCCATGAAAATCCCATGAACACATTAAAACACCATTTAAAATCCAATGAAAATCCAATGAAAATCCCATTATATCCCATTAAATCCCATGAAAATCCCATTAAAATCCAATGAAAATCCCATTATATCCATTAAATCCTATTAAAATCCCATTAAATCCCATTAAAATCCCATTAAAATCCCATTATATCCCATTATATCCCATTAAATCCCATTAAAAACCCATGAAAATCCCATTAAAATCTAATTAAAATCCCATTTTCCATAGCTATGTTAGTTTACCAGAGGGTAGCTGCCTTTGTTTATACAGTAAACCATAGATTGTCCCTTAAACTAATCCATTAAATCAACCAAGTTTCCATTAAATCACCATAGAATCCCATTAAATCCCATTATATCCCATTAAAATCCCATTAAAATCACATTAAATCCCTTGAAAATCCCATGAAAACTCCATTAAATCAAATTAAAATCCCATGAAAATCCCATGAAAATCCCAAGCAGTCGGCGATGGCCCCATCGCCTTTGGACTTTCCCGTGGTCATGCCATACATCTCCCGCGGTTGCACCAAGGTGATGGTGCCATCTTGCAACCTTACTACGGCGCCAAAAATGGTGGTTTTAACCATGGGAACTGGTGGTTTAACCAGCAAAAATTGTGGTTTAACCAGCAAGAATGGTGGTTTTATAGCAAAAATGGTTGTTTTACAGCAAGAATGGTGGTTTAACCAGCAAAAATGTTGATTTAAGCAAAATTGGGGAATTTTCCCAACTGGGTATGTGATGAATTGATCCTGATACCCTGCTGTTCACATGAAAATAGAGGGGATTTATGGATGTTCATTTCAAAATATGGTACTATAGGTTTTTACCGTGCTTCACCCAACCCAGATTCATCACAGGATTAGCTGCTTTGTGGTATTCTTAGTTTTCAACATGCTAGCCAAATAATATGTATATATTAGGTGAAAATGGTGATAGAATTGGGGCTTCAACCCACTGGAAAGGGGAATATCAATGAACTACTGGTGACAAAAATGGTGTTTTGTATCTTCAAATCCCGATTTGTGGGTTTCTCCCATATCTGTGAGTTGTAAGCCCAGTTGATAAACCAGTGATACAAAGTAGATACACCCCTTAAATCTAACATATGGTCATCGTTCCCCCCAAAAAAAACATATTCAATGGAAAAATACTGAAAATAATCTGACAGACCCAATTGAAAAATAATGATCTGGTTGGTGGTTTCAACCCCTCTGAAAAATATTAGTCAGTTGGGATGATTATTCCAAATATATAGAAAAATAAAAGATGTTCCAAACCACCAAAGATGTTTCAGAGCTGGGCAAATGATGTACCCTCTGGTAATTTGTTACATAGCTATTGAACATGGTCATAGAAATAGTTGATTTACCCATTAAGAATGGTGGATCTTTCCATAATTATGTGACAGTTTACCGGAGGGTAAACCTCCATTTTCCTATGGTTTTCCCATTTTCCTATGGGTTTTCCTATGGTAATGATGTAGAAATATGGTGAAATGACAAGAAATCATTTCCGGCCATGATTCACCTACGCGCTACGCTACGCCCAGCGCCGGGATCTGTCAAGTGACACCGGCCGCCCCATGGTCAAATGCATCGGCGCTTGGTGTTTCGCCAAAACCTGCCGCGGGTTTCGGAAAAAATCATGGCTCAATGATCAATGGCCATTTCAGGAGCCTAAATTGGAGGTACGTACCATATATAAGGCCTATGTAAGGCCTATGTAAGGGGATATACCCCGAAAATATGGCCTTATATGGTACACTACCTCCATTTCAGGATCCTGGAATTCCCGTTGAACATAATGACGGTTGACCGGGAAAATGCGGCTCAACAAGTGTTATTGATACAGAATGGGGTCACAATAAATGTTCATTTGTTATATTGATTAGCGGTTTCAACCCATTTAGGCCACTTGTTCTAATTCCTAAACTGAACTTATATAAGCAATTTGGGGATGATTCAGTAACAACAAAGGGGATATCATGCAGCAACAGCAACAACCACAATTGGTTTGGTTAGTTACTGGCATATAATATAAACCCATGTCAATGACAAACTATGGATAAATTGAGAAATGTTATCAACAAGAAAATGTGCCACGGTCAACCCCTGGTTTTTGTGAGAGATTTTTTTGGGTTATGGTCATCCATCCCATAATATCAATGGTCATTTCAGGAACCTAAATTGGAGGTACCTACCATATATAAGGCCTATTTTTCAGGCCTAAATTTCAAGGAATATTCCCACAATTCATATGGCCAAACATATGGTTCTAACGTACCTCCATTTTAGGATCCTGGAGATCTCCCATTGATAATAGGAATCCAAGCAGAACAGATCATTCCCCAAAGGCGGATTGATGACGGCCATACCCCAAGATGCCATGGCCGTCCAACTCTTACTATACCATGAATCTACCATGTTCGAGTGGGATAATCCATCAATGTACCATTATTACCACAATATGTTACATGAATTTTAGTGCCATTATAATTTATAATCATGATTACAATCATTGTTAATTAACATAATTAACCACTATGTATTAGTTATTACATGTTATCAATGTTATTACCACAATACGAAATATCAATGTGTACAATTATATACTATCCATTATTACCATTATTATCCATTAGAGTAATTATCTGTTATTATCCACGAATATTCCATTGATAAATTGTAATGTGTCAAAACCTTGGGAATCATTGTGGTAATCTGGGATTGATGGGATAATGAATTGTGGTAACTGTCACATTATTGTGGTAATAATAATGGTATTAATGATATCATTATGTCCATTATTACCACAAAAAACCTGGAATCTATGGATTTCCATCTGAAAAACCTGGGATATCATAGGATAATGACAATCTATGGATCCCAGGATCTATGGCCATCCCCTGAAAAAATTGGGATCTATGGATGTCTATGTCCCCAGTCATATGGCACATGGGTATGACCCATCCCGTGCTTGGAGCAAGTGATGCGCTAAGTCAGTTCCCATGCCTTTGCGGCTGCCGAGCTGTAAGGCGGTGATTTTGGAGACCCAGATTGCCTCAAGTTGTGTGCGGATAGCACGATGGTACAACTTGCCGGTGTAGTCCGAAATGAAAATGGACCGATATGACCGGGGGTCGTCAGGAGACCCTTTGCCTTTGTGCAGGGGGACGAGATAGCCGCCTCTCCAGGTGAGAGGTTCTTGTGCTTGTCCCGCAGCTTTGGTGGTCAAAAGGGAAAACTGCTTGGCGAAAATTGGTCCGGCAGCCTTCAAGATTGCTGGCGTTAGTTGGATAGGCCCGGGGGCCTTTCCTCGCTTGAGTTTGGCCACGCCCGCTTGCAACTGCAATTGCTTCTATATATATTTCTTATTGATTAGTGGGTTATTTCTTAACTGAACATATTATTCTAATGACTAATGGATTCTACAATGGATAATTACATTTTTGGGGTAAACCACAAGTGAATCCATGTTGGGGAACATCTTATTTCAATTGTTAGGTTTTCCATGGTTTGCCATTTATACATATATATATGGTAATTGCTGAGTGAACGATTAATGTGTATATATATATATATCATTGTTAGTAATAATGATACTATATCTATATACCATACATTATACTATCTAATGGGTTGTGAACACAGGCCATGGGTTATCACATATATAATTGAGTCTGATGGCCATTCATCATTTCCAGCAGCTAATATATATATATATATATATGTTTAATATGTCCATATATCTAATGTCCATTGTTAATATGAATAGGTTATGTTATGTCCCATACTGGTACAATATATATATAATTATATATATATGTATTTATCTAAACATTAGTATTAACACGACCGATACTGGCTGTTAATATATACTAAATATTTTGCTTAATATATGTATATATCATACTAAATAATATTATGTATATATATATATATTTAAAAATGTATACACTAAGTTATATACATTATTTACATATATATTACTTCTTTATTGATAAAGATAATTCATGGGAAAATAATAGATAATTACTGTTCATTGGACATGGCACCTGGATAATTATATATATAGTAATTACTGGGTAATAGTAATTATAAAATTTCACTGACCTGAATTAAGGCCACTTCGGGATGATTTCCCTTACTAATCATGATTCCAGTGAGGGAGACTAGTGAGGTGTTCTATTTACCCAGTAAATTAGTATAAGTTGGTTAATAAAAACTATATTTTACTTCAAATATGAATATATCATACTATATCACAAATATATATATGTATATACATACATACACTAACTTATGTATATATATATATTATTTATTATAACTATATAATCATGGCTTGTTTCAAAAATATATATATATATAATGATCTAATGGTTTATTAATTGGTTATACATATATTCATATAGTTATTTCAAACTATTGTGTTTATTTATTATATTTATTCTGTCTTATGGATATACCGACTGACTATATATATATACGCAAAACCCCTGTCTCGCCGTCGGCTGAAACTGCTTAAAACTGGTGGTTTGTCATGATTTCTGGAAATTTCCAATCGAAAAATGTTGCAAAACGCCGACATCCAGTGTAGCTTTGCTACCTTGAAGGCGTCTGTGTGCTTAACTGATGACACCTATGGATAAAAAATATACAATTTGAATCTATGTATTTCTACACCCGCAGAACCTGTGTCTCGCCAAGGACAAGACAACGAAAGACAAAGACCAAGGACAAGACAACGAAAGTCAAGAGCATAACATCACTGACGTCTTGACATAAAACCGAAGAAAGTCAAGAGCGTAACATCACTGACGTGTGAACATAAACAGAAGAAAACCAAGAGCGTAACATAAAACACTGCACCTCCCACGCAAAATGGATGTGCTCAAATTCATTGGTGGCCGCAGGTCAAAATGCATTTTGTTGAAATTAAAAATAAAATAAAAAACGCATTTCGCCTGCACGAGGAGAAAAATTCGAACGGGACGAATGACAATTTTGGCGACGGCGAGACAGGGGTTTTGCGGGTATATATAAATATATATATATATAGGTAGATATGTATGTATATCACTTCTGTTCATCATTTAGATATATTACATGGTAACAAGTCATATGTTCACTTTGATATATTTCATTTAGATTTATATATACATATGGTATATATATATGAATCTGGGTACATTATAATATTTCGCTAACCTGAAACTTGTGGTCATTTGGGGATGATTTTCCTAAAATAAACCATGATTCCAGTGAGGGAGAACAATGAGGTCGTTATAATATACCAGGAATAGTATCTCATATATCTAGTGGATTCTAATGGGTTGTTAATGGGTTTATACATATGTACATATATACATATATATATATATATTGATATATGATATAGATATATGAATCTAATTCCCAATCAAATACATCACTGACTGTAAATATATATATATATATATAAATATGAAATAAAAGGTATACCAACTAATATAGTAGGACCTAAATATAGGCCTCTAATATATACATTTCATTAACATTACTGACTATAAATACTCTATATATATATATTTGATAAACCAACTGACTATATAGTAGGATATTTATATATATATATATGTAAACCTCTAATATATAACATATCATTAACATCTGGTTGGTACATCAATATTGGCCAATTCACCAGTTAGTACATGTTCCTTTTTGATGGGTCATGGTGATCGATGCATTAACAGATTCATAGATAGTAGGACCTAAATATGTAACATAGATTCAAATATGTAAACGTCTAATATAATCTAATATATACAGTTAGGTATATACATACCATTAACATAGACAATATATGGAAAAATAAAGCTCATGTTCCAAACCACCAACCAGATTACTATATCAAGGGTTTAATCAACCCAATCAACAGATTGGCCAATTCACCATAGATTTTTAGAGTTTCTATCATCATGTCACCATAGATTCATATATATATGTACATATATATATATATATCTATCTATCATATACCAACTGACTATATAGTAGGATATGTTTTAATATAAACCTCTAAAATATAACATATCATCACTGGTTGGTGGTTTCAACCCCTCTGAAAAAAAAAATTGTCAGTTGGGATGATTATTCCCAATATATGGGAAAATAATCCAAATGTTCCAAACCACCAACCAGTTATACAATGTGAGGCCCCCAAGGTAGCTAAGTTGGTTTATAACTCCAATAACTGTGGTTTATGGTACTTATAACATTATAACTATAGTTACTGGGGCGAATCTAAACCAACTTAAAACTGGGGGGCCTCACATTGTATTATGGAAAATAAAAGCCATGTTTGAAACCACCAACCAGGTTTATAATCTATTGTACCTCCGGTAATTTAACATAGCTATTGAAAATGGCCCATTTATAGCTAATAATATAATCAAATATATACAGTTATATAAAATTATAGACATATATTCATATATATATATATCATATACCAACTGACTATATAGTAGGATTATCCCATATATATTATGGAAAAAAAAAATATGATTGAAACCACCAACCAGTATACATATCATGTTTAATTAGGACTATATAACCATGTTCATTACCCCCTGGTAAACTAACATAACTATGGAAAACCACCATGTTTAATGGGAAAATCCACTATTTCTATGGCATATACATATCATCAACATAGATTCATCATTTCCAGTCGTGACCGCGGCAGCGCCTGGATCACCTCTATGGCATCGGCTTCCGCGGCGATGTGCGCCGGGCTGCGGCCCCAGGAGTCCGGCAGCGCCAAGGCCTCCTGGCGGTGGGTTTTTAGGGCGGCGTAGAAAGGTGGAAAACGGTGGGAAATCCATGGGGAAAATGTGGAAAATCATGGGAAAATAAGGGAAAAACATACGAAAATCATAGGAAAATCACAGGAACATATGGGGAATCATAGGAAATTGACATGTCAATGGGAAAAACACGGGACACATATGGGAAAATCATAGGGAAATGTGGGAAAATCATAGGAAAATGGACATGGGAAAACCGGGAAAATCGGGAAAATCATGGGAGGATGATTGTAGGAAATATATGGAAATATGGAAATTTTCCTCATACCCTCTGGTAAACTGTCCCATAACTATGGAAAGATCCACCATTTTGAATGGGAAAACTCACTATTTCTATGGCCATGTTCAATAGCTATGTTAAATTACCAGAGGGTAAACCATGGAAAAATATAGGAACATATGGTAAAAACCACGAACTGAATGAAGGTTTGAGTGGAAGAAATCATCGAACTAAATGATGGGTTTTCAATTGCCATGTTCGATTACCGGAAGGTAGTGGACTGGAGAAACATATGAATTTATACTTGGTGGTTCATCCCACTTACTAAGTTACTAAGTAGTTTATATCACTGGTTCTGAGTGGGATAAGTAGGGTTAATCCACTTACAACTGGGGTTATAACATGTTATAACCTACTAAGTGGGGTGAACCACCAAGTACTGGAGATTGAGATTCATGTTATGTTTGATCTTCAGATCGGAGGATCGCTGCTGACACCTGCGGCAAATGGCACAGCTGCAATAGGACCTGGCGAGAAAAACAGCTGCCACGAAGGGTGAAGATTTCAACCCGAAATCTGGTGTGGTAGTTGGGTCAAAACATAGTGACACTAATGGAACATCATGGAATACCATGGAATGTTATGTTAGCAACCTGCTCATCTACTCCAATTCCATTCCAAAATACTGCTGGTTGGTGGTTTTAACCATCTTGAAAAATACTAGTCAATCGAAAGGATTATCCCATATATTATGGAAAATAAAAAATGTTTGAAACCACCAACCAGACTGGGTGGTTGATAGCTATCATGTAAATAGTGGGTGATATCACAATTCACAAACCAATTTTAAAAAAGAAACAGCAAACCATCACCCATCATTTCTCCATTGTGACTATACTCCCACAATTTTGATGGCTAAAGACCCATGAAAAACAATGTTTAATGGTAAACCACCCCTTAAATAACCCATCAACAAGTTTAATGCTATCATATATATATATATATACACATCCCAATCCTATCCATAAAAGAAGAGTTACTGTATATTGGATTGGTTTCAACATTTTTTACTAGTGAAATCTGTTATCTACTCCCACTGTAGTGACGTCAAAACAATTCATCCAGATTGTGTTTTGTTACAATCCACTATATGTACACATATGTATCCACTGTATATATATATATCCACTATGTGTATATATATATATATCACCTTCAAGACGTCGCGACGTAACGACGAGAGTGAAGTCATTCTCAATGTCCCTAGTCCTCATCATATCCCCATTCAGGTTGGTTTGCACGACCATCACGTCCGACAAAACAAAAAAAATGCCATGGCCAGTACAAGAGATCGGTTATAGTTTACTGGTTGGTGGTTTTAACCATCTTGAAAAATATTAGTCAATGGGAAGGATTATCCCATATTCTTGGAAAATAAAAATGTTTGAAACCACCAACCAGGTTTATAATCTATTGTACCCTCCGGTAATTTAACATAGCTATTGAAAATGACCCCTCTATAGTTGATTTACCAATTTTTCACATGGTGATTTCCCAATCATTTGGGGTTTCTCAACCTGTTTTACCCCCCAAAAAAAAAACATTGAATTCCCCATGAATGCGCCCAGCCCGCCTCCACGCACCCACTTCCTATGTTAGTTTACCAGAGGGTAAAACCAACCCCAAAGTCCCCAATTATAGATGATATGCCCATTAAGCACCCAGTAAATACGGTGGAATGGTGGCTAAGACTACCCACCAAAATATGTTATAATTCATGATAGCTGCCTATGTTATAATCCATCCGGATCATGCGTTTGTGATGAAAATCGCCCCCAAATATTCCCAAATAGTAGATACCCTCTGGTAATTTAACGTAGCTATGGAAAGATCCACCATCTTTAATGGGAAATTCCCACTATTTCTATGGCCATTTTCAATAGCAAACTGTTAGTTTACCAGAGGGTAAAACCAACCCCAAAGTCCCCAATTATAGATGATATGCCCATTAAGCACCCAGTAAATACGGTGGAATGGTGGCTAAGACTACCCACCAAAATATGTTATAATTCATGATAGCTGCCTATGTTATAATCCATCCGGATCATGCGTTTGTGATGAAAATCGCCCCCAAATATTCCCAAATAGTAGATACCCTCTGGTAATTTAACGTAGCTATGGAAAGATCCACCATCTTTATGGGAAATTCCCACTATTTCTATGGCCATTTTCAATAGCAAACTGTTAGTTTACCAGAGGGTAAAACCAACCCCAAAGTCCCCAATTATAGATGATATGCCCATTAAGCACCCAGTAAATACGGTGGAATGGTGGCTAAGACTACCCACCAAAATATGTTATAATTCATGATAGCTGCCTATGTTATAATCCATCCGGATCATGCGTTTGTGATGAAAATCGCCCCCAAATATTCCCAAATAGTAGATACCCTCTGGTAATTTAACATAGCTATTGACAATTGCCTATTTATAGTTGATTTCCCTATTAAAGATGCTGATTTTCCATAGCTATGTTTGTTTACCAGAGGATAGATCATCCGAATGGGCTATAATACTATATACTATAGTATGATCTGTGATGATTCCCAATCTAATAAATCCATTATTTCACTATTATAATAAAATCATCCCCATGTACAGGTTGTTTTCCCATTAATAGTGGTTAAAAACACCCAAAGTCCCCAATGATAGACCATTATATTGCATTATATGTTGCTTAATCCATTTTAATAACCCATTATTATATCATGATTAAAGCCGACCCCACAAATGTTATAATTCCATATAATTGAATCAAATTCATGCAAATCCATCAATTCAAACATTAGAAATAGGTATTAAATATTCCAGTATATTCCCTTTCTAATCCCAATAGAACTCCCCAAATATCTTGTTATGTGGCTAAAACAATGCCATAACCCATTCCCAAATGGTTGGTTTATTGCATTGTTTTACCCACATTATTATGGTTATGGATTAAACGTGATGAATCGTGATGAATATTAATGGAAGATTATTGGGATATTGATAATGGGTATATCAATAATGATAGCTACATTATTAGTATATTTCACTATTCATGCGATATATTATTTATATTGGGATAAAGGTATATTTTGGGTAAATTATGATAATTCACTAACCTGAAATAAGGCCATTTTGGGACAATTCACCTTACTAACCATCATCTATGGTGAGGTCGTAATGAGGTCGTTATAATTTACCAAGTATCTTGGTATAAGTTGGTTGATTAGCCCATCTAATTACAATCACAAGTATCATACACTATTGTTATTATAGTTACAAACCAACTTAGCTAATTATGGGGGCCCACCTTGCAATAATGAGGTAAAGCAATGATGTTAGCATATCTTATTTCAACAATGACTTTTGATGATAGTGGTTGACTCTATTTGGGGTTTATAATTCTAATGGGATTTATCATTGTCTGGTTGGTGGTTTCAACCATCTTGAAAAATATGAAAGTCAATGGGAAGGATGACATCCCATATATAAAATGGAAAATAATCCAAATGTTCCAAACCACCAAATTGTTACTGTATAATCTTACTGGTGCTTAGTAGGGAATGGATGGGAATGGGGGAATGGAATTTTCATTAATTAATTATTATGGATCATTCCCTCATTCCCTACGTTTAGCACCAGTAAGTAATTGGGGTTTCTCATTGTTTAACCCCCATGAATTCCCCATCAATGCGCCCACCCCGCCACCTCCACGCATGGCCCACTCCCCGCCGAGGCCGCGTGGTGCAGCACGCTCCAGCCGTCCGTGTCGACGGCCTCAGCGCGACACGGAGCACGCAGCGTTTCACATGGGCCAAAACACTGAGAAAACACCTGGAAAAACGATGAAAACCGGTGTGAAAAAACACGTGGAAAAACGTGGATTTAAGATATTTGAACGATGAAAACATAAAAAAAAACCTCAAAAAAAACAGCAGAAAACGCATTTTTTGTTTGGTTTCTTGGAAGGTTCCCAACCCAAAGGCCATTATTTCTTAACAAAATCCCCAAGTCATGGTGGGTTTCATTTGGGGTACCCCACCCGACTTGGAAACTTTACCAATGTGGGTCGATGACAAAAATCACTTTTGGATATGGCCTTGTTTGCTATATTTGTTGTTCAAAGAACAATCTGGCCAAATTGCTGTTTATTGTATTATTGGAAAGATCTCTTCATACATATCCTTACATTGGATTGCTGGTTTCGCGAACTGCCCAATGCGAACTAGATTACAAAGCTGGGGTATTGTTGGAGCCAAAAACGATACACATATAGTCCTACTAAAATAGTGGTGAATTACATTACTTGTTCATCTAACTGGGGGGGATGCTATAGGTGGTGTAAAAGAACAATGCCAAATTTCATTGGTCATGGATTGAAACCTCAACTTATTACCCAATATTACCCTCTGGTAATTTAACGTAGCTATTGAAAATTGCCATAGAAATAGTGGATTTACCCATGAATAATGGTGATTTTCTATAGCTACGTTAGTTTACCATAGGGTACCTCACCTTGTCTTCTCATGTTTTTGGGCTTCACATCCCAAGTCCTTCAAGTCTTCCCCACAAAACTCATCACTTCCCATGTGGGCCCCACCAATTTTATGGTCCGAAAAAACACCATTTTCATAGGGATACCCTCTGGTAATTTAACATAATTATGGAAAGATCCACCATTGTTCATGGGAAAATTCACTATTTCTATGGTGATTTTCCATAGTTATGTTAAATTACCAGAGGGTATAGCTATTGAACATGGCCATAGAAATAGTTGATTTATCTATGAAAAGTGGGGATTTTCCAGTTCGCAAACTCTAAACGTTAACCAGAGGATAATGATGATTGATCAATGGACTTATGCTTACCCTATTTTGAGACAAACCCATGTGACAAAGTTGTTGGTTAGTATCCTCACTGTGTGGGGATCGTCAATATGGTGAATACATTTTTTGGAATCCTCATGAACCAATAAGTATGAGATATTACAAGCATTACAGGCAATTTCCAACAAGTGCTTTGCAATTTGCAAGTACCTAATTTCGAAGAACTTATCTCCCTTTGGAGGGGGGATCATCCCATTATATCATATCCCCATTCTTCTGAATTTGATACCTTTCATTTTGTTGCTTAAAACATCTTAAAACCACCATTTAGATCCTCCCCAAATACATTCGGAGTTTAAATCAACATTTATCCCATTTTATCCCATCAAATCCCCATGAATTCAAACATCAATGCCATGGCAACTGACGGGACAGCTCGAAGTGCAGAATCTATGCAGGAACCATAGAGGTACGCATCCAGGCGATGCTTTGGCAACCGTTTCGCTCCCTCTTCAACCAAATATGGCCACACCGATGAGAGCTCAAGTGCGCCCTCGCCATGCAGCCCTGCCACACACTGGCGGAGAACGCCAAGGTAATGCAAGCGACCTCTGCTGCATGGGATGTTGCACTGGCCCGGGTCAACCTGGTGGTAGGTGACATGGTAGCCGCACTCTTTGAAAGCCTTGAGGATTTCATCGTGGTTGGATGTGGCATCGTCTGTATTTTTCTTCTTGTCCACAACTCCCGGGGTTGGTTCAATCCCCAGTTGCAGGATCATCCCACGGCTCGTGAATCGTAAGCTGAGTGAGGTGAGCCCCCTAAGTATCCATTCATAAATTGATAAACCATAGCAACTACTTCGATATATCTACCATAAAGCCAACAGTCAACTTGCAGTTTATGTGACCCCCAACTTAGCGATGCGATTTAGCTCACTGGGACACCAAACTATCGCATTTACCTTGAAGTGATCCTCCAAACCATCATCCCCAGTCCCCAGTCCCAGGGACCACGAAGTCCTCTTCTTCGAAATGGCCCAACTTCACGATGGTGCACACCGCCTCCGGCACTCCTGTGCGCGCCGCACGGTGCAGGCAGCTGCAACCCATGGCGTCGCGCTTCGAGAGGTCAGCCGTGGACAGATGACCTGGAAAGGCGGCGTCCATCCCCAATAGAGGTTTATTACTAGCTATACCTCTGGTAATTTCACATAGCTATATGGAAATTTGTACTATTAACACATCTATATGTTTTACCTATTAAACATGAAAACGGTGATTTTCCATAGCTATGTTAATTTACCAAAGGGTATATACGGTATACCTCTATGAAACATAAAACCCAAATGGGATAGTTGGCTTAGATTACTGATGATTACTGCAAATGATTAATTGAAACAAGTCCATCATGAACAAACCGTAACCTAGACTATATAGATTGTAAGAGAAACTAGTTTGATCAGTACATGTTTTTTCCACAAGTGCTATGTAGTTCATGTTGAACCACATGTCTGCAGCAGCATTCCGTCAGCCCCATGGAAAAATAAGTTGCAAAAAGAAAGTGAATTGAAGGCAAAACCTGAAAAAACACGGTGGGAGAGTTTCAGTTTGGAGAATGCTGCAATGCCTCCTCGGCAGGCAAGTTCAAGTCCCTTGAGTCTTTGACTCTGAGGGAGTGACTTGGTGTCACTCTGGGATGTAGACTTATAGGCTGTATCTTTATAAAATTGGACGCAAAGTCCTGGACTCTGTGTATCTAGGAGGAGATCTGTAGCAAGAAGGAACGCCTGAACAATGTAGGATGAAACATTTTAAAAAAATAGGCGCAGAGTCCTGGTCTGAGATTTGTGAATAATGAACATGAACTGGAGTCAAAGATCCAATACCTTAAGTTCATTAAAGTCAGTGGCATAGAAACGGAGACAGCGTGGGTTCCGGTAAATGCTGCTAATTTACACCTAGAACCGACCCACCGAGAAAACAAAAAGAGAAAACGACAAACCAAAGGAGACAGCCGCTAAAAAGGAGTCAGGCCCCGTGACGCACAGCAGGGTTCGTGACCACTTGTCTCTCGCTTTGGAGCACTGTGCCAGAGAAAGGAGATGAGTAACTCCATTATATCCCCAGTTACAGGGGGTTTTGCCATTATCATGGTGAAAACCAATCCCAAAGTGCCCTTTTGCTTGATTAAATCTCCATGTCTTCATGGTTTTTTCCCACCGTTTTCTTCGTTCCATGCACCCATTTGTTCCATCCGACCTTTCTCCAAGAACTTCTCCACCGCGCTGACGGCGCCCTTCGCGACCAGAACCCCTGCGGGTAAGGCGCCGCGACCTCGGCATGGTGCGATTTTCGATTCTTGAAATATCTATCATGGTACATTAATAGGATATTAATATTAATGGTATATTAAAAGGATACGAAGCGTATATTAATGGGATGTCAATGAATGGTAGATGAATGGTATATTAATATTTATTGTATATTAATAGGTTATTAATGGTATAATGGGGTGTTAATGGAACTAATGGAATGTTATTAAGACATATATACATTTATCTACCCCAATACGATATCAATGGAATATTAATGGGATGCTAACGGAATATAAATAGAATATGACTGGTATATTAATGGAATATCAATAGGCTAATACCACCATTTTTGTTGACCCATGGCATGTTGATAAATTTGTAATGGGATGTTAATGGGATAAGGAATAACATCAACTTTATCTCCGTAAGGGGCCAAAAACCCACCACCCCTCCGACAAATATGTTAAATGGGTAATCACTTCAACTGATCTTGATAAGGAATCAACAAATCCACCACCCCCTCTGACAAATATGTTGCAGAAGGAATACCATCAACTTATCTTCAAAAGGGATCAACAAATCCACCACACCCTTTAAACACATATGTTAAATGGGCTAATCATGCCCACTTCTCTTCATAAGGGATCAAAAAATCCTCCACCCCCTGTGGCAAAGATGCCGAATCTGATAATAACATCAACTTATCTTCATAGGGGATGAGGATGAGGATGATGAGGATGAGGATGAGGATGAGGATGATGTTGATGATGATGATGAGGATGATGATGATGATGATGATGATGATGAAGATGATGATGATGATGATGATGGTGATGATGATGATGATGATGATGATGATGGTGACGATGAGGATGGTGAAGATGATGATGAGGATGATGATGATGGTGATGGTGATGATGATGATGATGATGATGATGATGATGATGCTGATGCTGATGATGATGATGAGGATGAGGATGATGATGATGATGAGGATGATGATGATGATGATGATGAGGATAGTGACGATGAGGATGATGATGATGATGATGATGATGATGACGACGACGACGATGATGATGCACATATACATCTACATATTGAAAGTCCACCGACATGGCATTTCAAAAATACACAACCCTTCCGCAATTCCGGCGCGGAGCAACGTCAGGGTTGCACCGTACATGTTTAAAGGTCAAAATTGATGTTTTTTCTACTTCTCTGTCAACTTGTTTATCTACCTTTGTCCATCAAGCTAGGTATGTGGATGAAGGTCTGGTACCTGCTACCAGTTGCTTGGGCTTGTGGCTAGCCGCTAGCCATCTGAACCCTGAGATTTCTCCATGCAGATTTTAATCCTTTGGAGGATCATCCCACGAATCGTACGTGGTTAAAATCAGCCTAGTTACGCGTCATGCGCAGTCCCCATTCAGTGGGTTATCTCATATATAAACGGGTAAGTATGGTTACTAACCAGTTACCAAGTGGGTTGATCCTCCAAGAAATAACGTGGCTTCAAAGACGCAGCGTGCGAAAGTCCTTGCTGCTTTCAACCAATCCCCGAAAAGCCGCAAGGAAGTCATGGACTTTCGAGTGAGGAATAGCTAAAAAAATAAGATAGACATGTGAGCGGGCTCCAGCCGCTCGTTTACACTCCATGTATCGTAACATGGGTTGCAAGTCCAAAATGTGGAATCAGACAATAGGTATACTAAGTATACAAACAAAGTTAATTGGTTGAGCAACAACTTCTGGAGAAACCAAGCAGTTGGAACTGCTGCCATCAGCAGACTCCCCCTCAACCCAACCCCGATGGCACTCACCCATCCGTCTAACTTGGCATGCTGGACAATGTCCCGATTGATACAGACGTTTTGCCCATTGAAGCCTCCGTTGATAGGGACATTCCTTGCCGACCATTAGCAAATTAGTACAGTAAGTGGCTCATGACAATGCTTCGTTCACCCAGTTGCTTGTGTCGTCTCAGAATTTAGAACCCCAAGATCTATGATCTAAATTGTTTATCCTCATTTTCACCCATTTAGAGTTGCGACACATATTGATATCACTCATCTTGAGACATATCCTCTGTCTTGGTTTCTAGCCATCTGGTTTGTCTGAACAAGCCATTCTTCTCGAAGCTGGTTGGCCGTGGGTTTTCAGAGCCAGCTCAGGGCCAGCTTCCGTTGCTCAGGAACTTCCCATATGTTATCAACATTCTTATTTGGGTGTGTCTGAAAATAGTGTACCCCTAAACCCAATGGTTAATGATCATTATCCCTATTAAATGGCTATAATTGGGAATATACCCTATTTTCAGACACACCCATTTGGAAACCCCATGTTCAGAAACACCAAGTTAGTATTGGGTTTACTATCTTACTTGGATTGGTGTATAGCCCATACAACTCAGTTTAATGGGGATACACTAGGGATATTTTGATGCGATATATTCAAATACATGACACACCTTTTACACTGGTTGGTGGATAGAGATTCCCCTGATGGATTATGATAATTCCCAATGAATAGTTGGTAGTATAATTCCCCAACTAATCATCAATCGACCATCATTTATCATCTATATCCACTTCCATACCCCATAGTGTTGATGCTTGAAATTCTGAACCCCCCTATGAAAATGACTAAGACTATAATCATCAACCGGCTTTGGCAGCCACTCTCATTCTACCACCTCTGGGTCCACATGGCTTTGGGTCAAAATTGGGCCAAGAATTAGATGCTTAATACCAAACATGAATCCTAAAATCAAGGAAATCCCATGGGCCTTACATTTTATCATTTTGACCCAAACCATTTCAGAATTGGATGATGAGATGCTTTTTTCCACGGAAATCCCCGACATTTCATGGTAAAAACCAGTAAAAACTCCATACCCATGACGGATCCATGGTGCTGGTATATATGCTAACATGACTGGGGTATATTGATGGGATCCATGTTCCAATATATAGCAGCACCATGGATCCTATGGTAAAAGCTGTGGATTTTCTCCGGGCCACGTGCTTGGTCCATCAAGTCCTCCTTGCTGATGCCGCTGACACTGGCAATGGGTGCCCAGGCGTTGGACAGGAACTCGTAAGCCTAACGGGGATGGCGGGGGGGCGTTGAAGATGGCAAGATATGGCAACGTTCACCCGGATTTTTGACGACACGATTTTTCGGTGAATTCACGGTTTTCACCGTGGAAAATGATGAAAAGTGGCTGAAATCGGAAAAATGCTGGACTGATGTGCCAAAAAAATGCCAAGAATGGCAACGTTCACCATGGAAAATCATGGACTGAAATAGACTTAACCAATGAACATGCTGATTTTTTGCCCTGGAAAATGGTGAGTACTGTACCAATTGTTCTTGATTAAATTCAGATTTGTGTTGGTCAAATCCACATGTTTGTTGATTCAATCCAGGACTGTTTTGGTTAAATCCATCATTTTTGACTGCTAAACTCATTTTTTTTTCAATCACAACTTTTCTTGCTGAAACCCTCATAGTTTTGCTAGTTAGGCCTCCATGTTCGCTCATTAAATATGATGAACTCCCCATTGTTACCAAGGAAATCTCCAGTTTTACCAGGGAAATCTCCATTTTTAACAGGGAAATCTCCAATTTTACCAGGGGAATCTCCATTTTTCCCTCGTCCCTCGTCCCCAAAAAAGGCACCTTCTTTCGCTTCAACTTCTCCGCCAAGACCAGCGGTGTAGGCGCCAGTTCACAGCGGTCCGGATCCACAGCCTGAGGGGATACAATATCTCCGGGTGAACTATCATAAATGGGTAAATTACGATTTTGATGGTTCATATTTACCATGGAATATAATAAACCATCAATATTATGATATATGATATATTTTGATAGTTTTAACTGTTATTGGTAAATCATTCTTAATAGTGGTTACTAATCATAATAACTGTTATTACTATTTATTACTAATCACTGGTTAGCCATTGTAATCATATAACTGGGTAAATTACTATTTTGATCATATCTGGTTGGTGGTTGAGCCCTACCCCTCTGAAAAATGATGGAGTGAAAGTCAGTTGGGATGATGAAATTCCCAACTGAATGGAAACATAATCCAAATGTTCCAAACTACCAATCAGATATTATTATGTTCATATTTACCATGGAATCTGTTCAAAATATGGTGGTTATATATATATACCTATATATGATATGTATATTCTGTAAACTATCTATATAGTAATATTAATATAATATATCATAACTATTGAACTGTTATCTACATAACTGGGTAAATTGTCATATGTTCATATTATGTTTTATATTACTGGCTGAAATAAAATAGTTCGCTCATTTGAAAATAATTGAAATATTCTGATTGGTGTTTCAATCCCTCTGAAAAATATTAGTCAGTTGGGATGATTATTCCCAATATATGGAAAAATAAAAGATGTTCCAAACCACCAACCAGTACAGTAATGCAATTTGGGGATGACTACCCATATATAAACCATCATTGCGGTGAGGGAGAACAGGGTTCGGTCGTGATCAAATTTACCCAGACGTACGATGTACATATGGGGTGTGGAAAACTATCAAATGTTGATGGAATCATGTTAAAGATGAGAAGATGACTGGTTGGTGGTTTTAACCATCTTGAAAAATATTAGTCAATGGGAAAGATTATCCCATATATTATGGACAATAAAAAATGTTTGAAACCACCAACGAGATGAATACTGCAAGGTGGTGCCCCAGTGAGCTAAATCGCTAACTTGGTGCGTTTATAACTCCTATTTCACTGGGCTAATGATGGAGGATATTACAAAGTATAGTTACTAAACTTACTTCAATCACTAAGTTGGTTCATGGTAAATATATCTGGTTATTCAATCACTATGGTTGGTAAGTTATATTTATATAGTAACTATGGTTGGTAACTATGGTTCACCATATATAAACTATTACTAAGTTGGTTCAATCACTATATGATCTATATGGTTATCTATGGTTTATAAACCAGCCACATGACCCCTAAATAGGGGCACCATCTTGTGGGTATACAAGGTGGGATCCCAAAACGAAAGCGCTGTTGGAACCTTTGGATTTAGGGAGGATTGTACCAGATACCCTCTGGTAAACCAACGGTTTGCGAACTGGAACATGGCCCAGTCGAAATAGTTGATTTACCCATTAGTGAACCTTTGGATTTAAACTTTGGTTAACGTTTACAGTCTGCGAACTGAAAAATCACCATTTCTAATGGGTAAATCCCATAAAATTGTTGGGAAAATCCGATGAAATTCCCATGCACACTATATCATAACCTCTGGTAAACTAACATAACTATGGAAAGATCCACCATTTTATAGCTGGGTAAATCAACTATTTCTATGGCCATTTTCCAGTTCGCAAACTGTTGGTTTACCAGCGGTAGGGAGGATAGAACTATTCAATGGGCTTGATAAACCAACTTACCCTCTGGTGTCAAAAAAAAACGTGGCTTGCTGGAAAATGTCCCATTTATAGTTAAATTGTCCCAGCTATAAACCTCCACTTAGCTCGTGGATTTCCAATTGCCATGTTTGATTACAGGAGGGTAATATTAATACTGTGGATGGTTGCGAAATCCTGCAGCAGTTGGTAGATGGTAAACATCCCATTGTAATCCCGCCAATGTATAATATATTGGTTGGTTGAAAGGTACCGAATAAAGCAATTAACATAACACCAGCAACCCATCACCCATCATTCATCAATTATGACTATATCTTTATAGTTTTGGTGTTTAAAGACCCAGTGAAATACCATGCCATACTTAGTGGTAAGAGCCCACTAAGTACCCCATAAACGATTTTATTATATGGAGGTTTCCTAAAATGCGGTAACTCAAAATGGATGATGTCTAATGGAAAATCCTATTGAAATGGATGATTTGGGGGTACCACCATTTTAGGAAACCTTCATATCCAATTTCTATACAACGAAATATGATGTATTATTAATGATTTATGTAGTTTTCATCCCTCATGTTTGCTGGGTTAAATCCGTCAAATCCACTCCCATTGTAGATTTATATAACTGTCCCGGCTTATATTTCTAATCGCAAATCCTGTGTCAATCCACAGCATATTAAACCATTGTGTATTCCATTAGCCCCGTTATATCCCCAATTATAGATGATTTTCCCATTATATACCAATTATAATCCCGTAAAATTGTTGGGAAAATCCCATGAAATTCCCATGTACACCATATCATACCCATCATACCCTCTGGTAAACTAACATAACTATGGAAAATCACAATTTTATAGCTGGGTAAATCAACTATTTCTATGGCCATGTTCCAGTTCGCAAACTGTTGGTTTACCAGAGGATATCCCCACTTTTGGTTGCATACCCACTATATCCCCATCCCCATTGGATACCTCCAATTCCATCGGATTTTTTCATCTTTCCCCGCCCCAGCATACCCCATACCTGGGAAGAGCCATACCCCTATTTTTATCACAATGTGTATATATATATATACACATAAATATATAATGTTGGTATATGTTTGTATATATATATATTATATTATTATACAGTATATCTATCTATTTCTTCATATATTTATGTATCTATGTATTTATGGGCCATATAACTGGTGATGTTCCCATCAATCTAGCTGACATGTTTCTAGGTTATTACCCGCGGATAAGTGGGACATCCAAGCGCTGACCGGCAGCGTTCCACCCCGGCATCCTCCCGCCTCTTGGTCTTTGGTTCCCTTGTCATACTCGAAGCGCATACGCTGGTGCCTGTCTACGTAATGGACCTAAGTTGGCTGCGGAATGTCATGAAAAAATGTGTGTTTGGGGGATGTGTTGTGGTGGAAAATGTGATTGAACACCAACAATCAACCTAGTAACCAACATAAGTAATTAGAATATTGATATCAACATTAATATCGAGTGTTGATAAGAATGGCAAGAATTTAATATCCGGGGTAATGCGAAAAAACAAGTATAATCATCCATACCCTATTTGTCCATTTACCAAATTTTGATCTTAAATAGTGGAGCTGCTACAGTTGGCTTCAGGGGTCAACTCTCAGGTGGAAGCAATGTGATATATGGGTATGAGTTAGAATGGGCCCCAATAATCATACCCATAGGTCCCAAAAAAATCACAGTCCAATCATAGCCATATATCACATTGTACAAAAACAGCCATCATGACATACGGCTACACCCATATATGATCATATTATTGGCTATTATACCCATGATATATCTCCCATATATATATATATATACACCCGCCGGCAAACTGTCCCATAACTATGGAAAGATCCACCATTTTATAGCTGGGTAAATCAACTATTTCGACTGGGCCATTTTCCAGTTCGCAAACTGCTAGTTTACCAGAGGGGTATATGGCTAGTTATAATGCTACTCATGGTTACCGAAAATCGACGCAATCTGTGGTCCCATGGGTTCTGAAAACTCCAGTGCTTCATGGTGAAAAACTTAAAGGTGAAAAAACTCCAGTGATATCCACTGATTTTCACTATATGTCATAGGATTTTTTTTAAAGCTTTTCTGAGCTACCAAAAGCTAATTTTTTTCTCGCGGTAAAAACAAAAATATTCAAGTCGTATCCCTACTTAGCGCATTCAAATGGCAGTGGGTCAAAACCTTGTACCCCTGTAGTTCACATCAAAATAGCTGGTAAATGGATGTTCATCCCCCTAAAAATGGTATTAATAGGTATTGACTCATAGCCAAATCACCAGGCTTAGAATCTACTCACGACTCATTGGGACAATGGGATGATCAACCAAGGCTAACTTTTTGTTCATCTGAGCTGCTCGTCCCATGCGATAGCCTCATGTGCGGGATGAGAAACACCAATGATGCGATTTCGGAATATGGGGCTAGATGGTCCATAAAACATCATACAACATGATTTCAACATGATTTCAACATGATGTCAACATGATTTCAAGCTGATTTCAATATAGTTTACAGTTTCAACACATCCTAACAATGGTATGGATTGATGTGAATTGAACAGAATTGGTTGCTTAATAAGCCAAAACACCTGTACAGGGTTGTAACCAAGATGCCGTGCCCTGAAAATTGCGGTGACAACTGACCCAGTTGTCATCCATCATCGGCATATTCAATATACATTCACCAAAAGTCATCATCCATTCACCTAGAAAAATACATCAAACATACCATATGTGGATGGTATGGGTGTAGAGTTCATTGATCTCATTGATCTGTGTCGGGGTTTGCCTCAAAAGGTGGCTTCACGGCTTCAAGAGCTTGGCTCGATTCTGTGGCTCGAAAGGCAAAACTGAAATAAAAATGAAAAAAGTAAGTCAGTTCCTACAAAGTTACTACCAAGTCAGTTCCTACTATATATATTTATAAATATGTATAAGTTTACTATTTCAAACACTGAAAAATTAAAAATGGTCAGACTTTCTGACAAACCAGGGCCCTACTTTCGAGGCCATAAGGCAACATATTTTGCCGACTTCGCGCCAAGCAACTGTCTCCCAAATAGGCCACCACCTGCACGGGGAGCAACGAATGGGCTGGTTCAAGATCGTGGGTTTTTGAATGATCTTTAATGGTGTTTTAAATGGTTTTTAATGGTGTTTTAAATTGTTTTTGATGGTGTTTTCAATGGTTTTTAATGGTGTTTTAAATGGTTTTTAATGGTGGTTTAAATGGTTTTTAATGGTGTTTTAAATTGTTTTTAATGGTGCTGTAAATGGTTTTTAATGGTGCTTTAAATTGTTTTTAATGGTGCTTTTTAAATGGTTTGATGGTGTGG